TACCATGTCCCTGCACTGCCTGGAAATCCACTCCTGCAGCTCCCTGGGGAAATGCAGAGAGCTGAGCCCACAGCTCCAACTCATCTGTGCTGCGCTGGGGTGAAGCTTCCCAGACCCAGCTGCTGCTTTCAAAATGCATTTTCTGTGCAAATGTGCAACTTTAGCCCCACACAATCAGTGCTATTTTACTTTTAACAACAGCTCTTTCTCTGCTTTTTAAACAGGAGGCAGGCAAACAAGGGTCATTAAAAAACCTTTTCATTACCAGCCGCTGGCTTTCTCATGCTTTGTGATGTTTACAGGGGGCAGAGGATTGGATTTTCTTATCTTTTCAAGTGACCTTTTTTTTTTTTTTTTGCTGTCTTTATCTCCCTTTCCTGGAGTATTCCAGTGCATAATTCAACTAATAGTCTGGTACTGCAGTGACCTCGAAGAAAGCTGATGTTCTTCCTCTGGTTGAGTCTTTTAGTTTCTTACTGGGGATCTAAAGGCCATTTTTAGTGCTGTACCAGGAACTTGTGGCAGAGGACGAAGTGGATTCACTCAATTGCATTTCTAGCAAAGCTTGCTTCCACATCCCTCTGCCTTCTCCAGCAGTCAAGTTTTTCCCCAAACTCTCTGGTATCATGGAGAACTGCAGAATGCTCCCCATGGCCATTTTTAAACAAACTTCAGTGCCCTTGTCGTGACCCACCCAGCCACTGCCCAGCCAGGGCTTGCCAGGAAGACTCAGCAGAAATCTGTAAATGGTCTTGGTGAGAGGCTGCTGGATCCCACACTGCCCTGCAGATCCTGCAAAAGCAATAAGGGAGGTGGAGATCAAGGTGGAAATCTTTCAAGATTTGCAAGTACAAAATCTGTTTCTTCTTTGTACAGTGTTTGCCTGCTGTCTGAAGCACTGGCACAGGTGATGGCGCAGAGCAGCTGGATGGCCTTGACCCTTTTACCTGTTAGGAGGTGTTATCCCTATCCTGTCCCTCTGTCCTAGTTAGGACAACTGGGTGTAACCCAGGGTGTAACCCAACTGGGTGTAACCCAAAACTGTGTATTCTATAGCCTTCCATGCCATTTCCCAGAAACTGTTATCAATGAACCATTTACACCCTCTGCCCATAGAGCCTGACTCCTCAGGCTACAAACTAGGTGTTAAGAGGCCTGTGAGATAGGAGGATGCTCCTGTCCTCACACCCTTTGTGAAACTCCCCGCCCTGAGGGAAGTGCTGAGCATTCCTGCCTGAACTGCAGGATATATAATCTTGGAGTCTTGGAACATTTGGAACCACTCTGTGGGATCCAGAGAAGGACTGCAGCTCATCGCTCTCAAACAGACTTGGATCACCACCCTATACTGGACTCCAATCACCACTTTGACCAGACTGCAACGGCTCTTCCCCCAGCATCTCACTGTAATCACCACTTTTGACCAGACTGCAACCGCTCTCCCACCGGCAGGTTCTTCCCCTCTCCCTTTACTTTGGACTCAAGCGGGGCCCAAGGAACACCACGTTGTTCATGCCCCAGGGTACTGGGTTATACATTTGGGTTTTGTGGGTTAAGACCAATTGTTTGTTTGTATGATTGTACTTACTGTATTATTTTAGTAAATTGTTATTCTGACTTATAATCTCTCCTTTGAGTTGAGTTCATTTCCCCTGCTGGTTAACTCTTAAACCAGCACACCCTCCTTCCTAAATCCTTGATCCGATCCTTGGGTCCCTTTGGAGCACAAAATAGCAGAAAAGACTGAGGGAGAATCCTTCTTCCTCCACCAGAGGAGAACCTTCTGGTCAGGAGCATCACTCCCAGTCTCAGTAGGGCTTAAACGACCACAAAGTTACTCGGCTCCCTAATATCTCTTGAGGAGTTAATTAAAGGGGTTTAATCTCTGCTGAGACGAAGTGAATCTGAGTCTATCCCTGGAAATTACTTTCCCTAATGGAATGACGCAAACCCCAGCTCGGGCGGGATGGGATGCCTCCAGAGGATGAGGATGCTGCCTCCGGAGCGCGCCTGCCTGGGATTCATTTTCTCTTTATTTGCTCCATCACATCGGAAATCCCCGGTTTTCAAGGGAGCCGAAGTCCGGGAGCGCGGCGGGATTTGCGGGAGAAGAGGGACCCCCGCTGGCCGCGGCTGGAACGGAGATGCAGCCCCGGGGTTTTGGCAGCAGAGCGTGCCCAGATCGACCCGGGGAAAGCACCTGGGGGGCAGGAGCTGCTGAAACAGCTCCTCAGCTCCCTGCCCGGGGAGCCCGGGCCGTCGGGGGCAGCGATGCTGCGGGACCGGAGGGCAGGGGCGCATCCCGACGCTGCGGGAACAGGAGGAGCAGGGAGAGCCACGGCGAGCTGGAGACCCGGGCAGGGGGGCTGTACTGCCTGTGCTGCCCTGGATGAGCGGGGCAAAGCCTTCAGCTCGTCTGGGGGAAGCACACAGGGCAGCCAAAGGAGACCTTCAAGGCTCACGGAGCTTCCACGGAGGAAATCCGAGGAGCCACGACCCGCCCGGGACCTCCCCCGTGGCTGCACAAGGCATCGGGAGTTTTCTCTGGGAACGGAAGGGAAAGCTGCTGGAATTGGGGTTAAAATGCAGTGCCAGAGGCTACTCTCTGGCCCTGGCAGCAGCTGATCCTGGACAGCCCGTGTGTCTGTGCTGACCCTCAGTATCCCCAGCGTTGTGTCCGAGGGCAAAGTGTTCCTGTGGCCGCGCTCCGAATTCACAGGGGGCAGCCTGGGCGGTCCGAGCAGCAGGAGAGCACCTGGTGCCCGCGATTCTTGCAGGCACAGGGAGTGCAAAGGTTCATCCAGCACTTATTTAGGAACATGGAGCTGTGTGGAGAAGAGTTTGGCTTCCTCCTTTCCACACTGAGTACCCCAGGTGTGGATTGGGAGCCTGCTCTCCTTCCACGGGCAGCCTAGCACATATTTAATATTCTATTCACACCCCTCTGCAGATTTATGAATCTCAGTTTCCTGCTTTGATCTGGTTCCTGAAACATTAATTAATTTCAGGCCCTCTTGCTCCCTTTTTTTTCCCTTCAAAATGCTATTTCTAATTATTCCCAATTTCCTTATGTCACTTGTTTCAAACAATTTTCCCCCCGAACAAGATATTGGTATTTCTCTCTCCAAACTGTGCATGGAATTGCAGGAGCACATGCAGGAGGAAGTTTCCCTCTGTCTTCCTCTGTTTCCTGCTGGTGGTAGCAGAGCTTGAAAGCCAAAGCAGTGGGAAGGATTTCAGATCTGAAGCTGGAATACACGTGTCACTTTGTCACCTCTTGTGTGCCTTCTCTTGTAGCTGTGTGCTCTTTTCTGATTGATGCCCTCACTCCCTGTCTTCATTTCACCACTTCACTGGCTTCCTGAAGGTTTTGGATTAGTCTGGCAGTATTACAAGCTGAAAATAATCCTACCCTAAGTAGCAAACATTAAAAGGCTGCAGGAAGTGCCACTGCTGTAGGAACTGCTCCATACACCGTACCCCATTTTAATGGCAACAATTATTCCCTCCCCCTCTTATTAAATTGATTGGAAACACAGAATTGAAAGGAGAAAGCAAGCTGGACACCACAGCTGCACGTCCTGGACACAGAAATCCCACCTGCTGTGACTTTTCTGCCCCCTTTACAAGAAACGATCCCTTACCCCAATTAATTATTCCTTTACATTAACAAGGAGGAAACATTGACCAGACTCATGGCTGAACATGTGAGCCCTCCACCAGCACCCCAGGCCTGCTACAGGACCCTGAGTGTACACCTTCTTTATTTGCCAAGCTTAAAATGGGAACAACTTACCCAGGCCCTATGGCTGCTCTAGGATTTCATCCTTATTTCATCCTTGCAAAACCCTCAGGCTCACACCCATGTACAACACAGAGCTGCTACATGTTATTAACAGGATGTGGCCGAAAAAAAGCAATTTTTGAAGGCTTCCTTTCACCCTGCTTCTCTCCCAGAATAAGGCAGAGTCAGAGCAAGCTTCCAAAAGGCTGGGTCAGATTCATTCGGCAGTGCTGACACGCTGACAGTCTTCAATTAACATGCAGGGCAGGTCTGGCGAGGGAAAGGATTCAAAAAGACAAGTCCAGTCTTCAGCAGAAACACCTCAGCAACTGCTGAGGATAAAATTAAAAGGAAAGCAAGTTGCCCAAGTGGCTGGGAGCAGGAACATGAGCTGTGGCAGGGTCACATCTTTGACCTGTTCTTTGCAGAGACAATACCTCAGAAACAAAGTCCTCGCTGTGCTCTCCTGCAGCTGGTGCAAGGAGAGCAAGTCTGCTGGAGGAGACAACAAAAGCAACTGGCTGGTAAAATGAGAGTTAAAGCACCTCCCAGACCTCCATGGTACAGGGTGTCAGTGCTCTCCCACTGCTGTTCTACTGCAAGCAAGACCCAGGCGCTGTGCAAGGCTCTTCTCACAGCTCTGGCAATGCCTTGTCTTCTAAAAAACCAGTTCCCAAACGCCCACCAGCCCACCTTTTAGGGACAGCCTGCCAGAAGCCAAGCACAGAACCCACCTGCCTGTACACCAGCAGTCCTAGTTCCCATAAGGAGTTCCCCTAAGGTGGGAGTCAGGGTCTCAGCTGGGGGCCCAGGAAGCTCCTGCTCAGGCTGCACAAAACACCAACCCACAGCACACTCCTTGTGTCTGGGCTAAAATTCAGCACCCCGAGAGAAGAGGGGTTGGTCAAAGAACTGGCCATGGAGAGAGCTCTTCTGGTGTAACTGGAATTCCTTCTGGAATTTGCTGCTTTTTATCTTGCATTTTAAAATGCACACTGAAGGCTCCTCGTGACCAGCCCAGAAGAAGAACCAGGCATGACTAGTTATGGATGTCATAAGGAAAATGGCAACACTGCCCTTGGAAAAACATGAGTTCAGCCTTACCTGAGGGCTCCTTCCTGAGCTACAGTACCTGGCAGGTGAGGATGTAGGAACTCCTCCCTGTCCCACCTTCTGTGTAAGGCCTGGTATGTGATAAATGAGCTGCAAATACCTGTAATTTTTTTTTTCCAGTATTTTATTTCTGACAGGCATTTACAACGTTCCATTCATAGAACTAAAAACATAAAAATAGACCTTCTTTCAGCTTATAAAAGAAATATATAAGAACCTTTGACATAGACATGTCATGACATTATGTACAAGAGCCACGGTACCTTCCCAGTACCAGCCTTCCAGTATGTGAGCTCTGACTGTATCCACTGGGAACAGCCCAGGGCAAAAACCGCCGCTCCTCCAGCACGCTGGGACACAACTGACAGGTGGATGATATAAAACAATGCTGTGATCATACAAAGGGTATAGAAACTCTTCTAAAGCTTTTAGGAAAAGAAATGAGGAGATAGCAAAAAAGTTGATAGAGAAAGCTTTCATAAGGTCAAGTATAGTGCACCAGAAACCAGGGAAGGGAAGGGGGCAAGGGGAGAATGCTAAGTGGGACACACAGACAAGTGATGGGTATTTTGGGGGGATAGTTTTTGTTATGTTTTAAAATATAGTCAGAGTGGATTTTATAAAATATAATCCTAAAGCTATTATAAAATTTCAGGTTTTCAAAGTACCTACTAATGTGTCAAACATCAATAGATACCATCAAAACAAAACAAAACAAAAGAGAATTTCATATAATCTTCCTTTTTTTTTTTTTCCTATAGGTGAAATTGCAGTGGGAAAAGCTATATAAATCTTAAAAAAAAAAAAGTGCTATTTTGTGTTTTGCATTTGGAAGTCTACTTAAAAACCACGAGATTTAAGTCACATTTTACCCTGTTTTAGATGTTTAAATAAAAGATTTCAAATGTTAAAGGTTTGCTTGTGTAGAGCTTGATCGTACTCTATTGCAGTGGAAAAGCTTTTATAAAGGAATTAAAATACACTAGTTTCACCCACAGTAGGAGAGTGGATGAGGTCAGTTTTTTGGCCATGAATTCCCTGTCCCCTACGCCCAAACTCTGCCGGAGAGAGTGGACCAGACGGATCTGTGGCTCCAGAGAGGTCCCACCACGGATCAGCTTGGTCCACCACAATTCAGTCATGTCATTTTATTTATTATTCTTTTTATTATCTAACTAAACTCCAGTCTCAAACATATACAATAATCCTTTTCCTCAAGAAAGTTATACCTAAATAAGAGTTTCCAGTTCATATTTTAATATAAAACCACCGTTCCTAACCCTCTGCAAAAAGCTAGTCCTGTATCCTAGACGTGGAGCTACGCTAACGCCGTAAGACTTTTATCCCTTTGTGCCCCTGCATCTCAGGTAAAATACAAAAAAATATTTCTTCAAGTGTTAAATTTGGATCTCTTTCAAGAGAGTTTGGCATCTTTATAACAGTATGTAAAACTAGAGCTTCCAACATTGACATTAAATTAGACCAGCCATAGACCGAGAAGACTTAACACAACATAAATCCCAAACCTTTCCTCACGCATTCCTAAAATACATGTATATTTCTCTTACATTTAAAGAGGGAAAAAGTAATAAGAATACTGCAACTGTACAGGTTAAAAAGGCAGTTTGCTCATGAAGGAGATGAACCTACGACCGACGGCTTTTACGGCTATAAACCCCTCTGTCCTTGTGCTCTTGTTTTAAGCTAGTTCGCTGCACGTAGGTTAAGACATCCAGAGTAATTTGTTTTCCAGTGATTATGTTTTCTCCCCGTATTTTAATTTCAGCCCCTGATTACTTCAGAATAAATAAAATAGTGTGAAAGCCCTTGGTAACGTAAGACAGGACCTTAAGCTTAACCCGTTCCCGGTTTTGAGCGTTTTACAGTCGCCTAAAGTGTGGCCGCATGGCTTCGGACCGGTTCAGCTGCCGAAATGGTGTGTGCAAGTGTGCAATCTATCGGGATCAGCTCTCCGTGGGAGCGGGGAAGGGAGGGAGGGAGGGGTGGACGGGGAGACCTACGCATCCAGGTGGGGCAAGGGGGGCTTAGAGCTCCGTGTTGAGTTTCCTGCCGGGGACAAAGTCTTCGCGCCTGACCCAGATGACCTCCTCGCCGTGTCCGCCCTCCACGTCGCCGTTGATGCCGGACAGGGCCGCCTGCTTCTTGAGCTGGGTCATCCTGGCGGCGTGGGCGTCCCCCCGGCAGGGCTGGCCCGCGATGGAGGCCGCCTGCAGCCGCTCCCGCAGGTCCCGCTCGGCCGCGCCGCCCCGCACGGCCTCGCAGTACTCGTCGTCGTCGCTGAGGATGTCCGTCTCCTTGATGTCCTCCTGCTCCTCGTACTGAGCGAGGTCAAACTGTTCCTCGACCCAGCGGTCAGTGTCCCCCCCGTGCGTGGGCTGCTGGGGTTCTTTTTCGGGGCTGCTCGTGTAGACGGCGTCTGAGTCAATGGTAAACCTGTTTCGGGCCAGCCGCCGCCTCCTCCTCCCAAGAGACTTGCTTGGGGCTGACACTGCGCACACACAAAGATAAAACCCCACAGGTTTTTTACACACGGTACAACTCCTTAGGGAAAGTTACTCTTCCAGGGGCCCTTTATTTAGCACCGCTGGGCACAGAGCAGGCAGACTCCCATGGATGACCTGGTCACTCCCTGCGGGCGAGTCACGCTCCGCTCGGCTCCTCAGCACAGGTCTCTCTCCGGCTGAAAACACGGAGTTTCTGCTACTCAGATCCACGGTTTGGGATAATGGCCCACAAGGACTGTTCCTCCTGAGCGGTGGGCAGGCAGCCAGCACCAAGTGCATCTGTTCAGCTCAGCTTCTCACACGCAGTGCCTGCTGCCAGCACACCACAGAAACCAGCAGGCTCACACCTCGGTAAAGGGAAATTGCTTTGTCTGGGGTGGGAGCAACACCACGGGTTTCCAAGTGGCTGCCTCAGTGTTGAAGATGCTGCAACTGCTGTGTTATTTACGGGGAACTACGTTCCTTGTCCAGGCTCTGCTACTGCCTCCCCCCACTCCCTCCCTACTGGGGGAGAAACCAAACCCCAAAACCAGAAAATCTATCAGAAGTTCCTTACTCAGCATCTACTCTACTAGCTTTTGCAACTGGCCCAGTTAGCAAATTCACATCTCCTGTGTTGGAACATCTTCACAAGAGGCTCGTGAGGCAAAGCAGGGGATGAATCCTGCAGCTCTTTATGTGCACACACACATAGCTCCATGGCCAGCAGTGAACTCTCAGGCTGGAGTTTCTCCCCCTCCACCAAACAGCACCTTAGCACTTGGCAGGATGTATTTATCCAACTCTGCCTTGGGGGTGGGGTTACCTTTTAACATCCCTGAGCCTCACAAGGTGCATTAAGTACGACAAAGCTCAGCAGTTGCAAATTTTATCTGTAGGGAGAGGTCTGGACTTTGAGGGCAGGTTTTAATCTCTGCAGAACTCATCATGCAAATGATGAAAGTGAAAGGAGGTTTGGCATCTACAGCAGGGTGGCCCCACAGGCCCAGGGAAGCAGCGCTGTGGGTTTTGGCCCTCCTCTGACTCTCCCTGCTTAGGATCTGAAGTGCCTGTGAGGCAGATTCCCAGCAGCACCCCGAGTGAGAAGCCATGCTGAGGATGGTGTTGGTCTGGCCTGCCCAGTACAGAAGAGGAACAGAAAGCCTGGTTGTCTATATTGCTGGATCTAATGAGCAGAACAAAAAGTAAACAACAGACCGGAACAAAACACGCAGCGGTGCCGTGTGCTGTTCACTTGGAAGCAAATGTTTTCTTCCCTCCATCATCTAGTGTCATGAAAATGAAAACCTGCTTCCCCCTGGGATTTTCTCATTGCTTTTGCCTGAAGTAAACTGAAAAGGAAAATCCACGGTTTAGGACAGGCCATTACAAAAATAATAGCACCAAGAGCATGTTTCTCCAAATGTGAGAAGTGGGAGCACGAGCCCTTCAGCAGTAGAGCTGAAAAGGTTAAAAGGGAGGACATCCAAAGTTGTCCCTTCAAACCAAGCCACTCGCTCAGGGGAGTGATTTTTTTCTTTTTTTGTGCATTTTAGTTTAAAAGTGCTAGGGTCACCTCAAAATTCTGTACATGCTTTTAAGGAACAGGCAGCAGGGCTTCTGCTTTGTCCAGCTGAAACCCAGTTGCAGATTAAAGTGCACAGCCAATCGGTACCGACAGGAACCCCATTTCTCCCTTCCATGCCAGAAGGGCTGCTCTGAAGCTGAGCCTCGAGTGCAAAGCAAGGGAAATAGAGGCAATTTAAGGCTCTCAAGGAGGTGAAGCATGGAAAATCAGCAGTTTTTACATACACAGGAGAGAATGCTAATCCTAATGTACAAGTAACAGACACCACCACATGTCCTACAACGGTGCTGGGGTTACTGGGATCTTGAAAGTCTGTAGCCCTACAGTACCTGCCCTGTTCATGGCTGGCCTTGCACCTTTTAGAGCACACAATCTTTTTCCACCAAAAGGAACATATTGTTGGGAGGAGGGCAAGCTTTCGGTTTTAAGAAGCTGTCTCCTGTGTTTGTCCCGCAGGATGGAGTGCACTGCCTTCAGAAAGTCCTTCCTGTGTTCTGGTGAGCTGAAAAACAGGTGAGAATGCAAAAAAGGCAGCGTTATCCCCTGGGAACTGCTAAAAGCTTGCCAGTAAATGAGATAAATAATGAGCAGTTCTGTGATTTAAGACAGTGCAAATCAACTGGCAGGCGCTTCCCCCAGAGAAGACTCCATTTAACACGGTGTTTTCAAAGCAAAGCTAAATCTTTGGTCATTGCAACGGGCAGCCAAGGAAACCAATACACAGTTCATTAAAAAAACATTTAGCCTTTCACCCTTCCCGAGGTTTCCTTTTCCTCCAGTGCCAAGCAAGCACTTCCCTGTGCCTGATACACACCGAGTTGACCTGTGGGGGCTCATTAAATCTGTCTGGCTCCTGGGAACACACACCAAGCACAAGTCCTGCAAATCCCTACTACCTCACAGTAGGGACTGGCTTGGCATCAGCTCTGCTGGATCCTGATGAACGTGTGTTCCAAGTTCTTACTTGAATTCTTAAGCCACGTCAGGGCAACCACAACAACAACAATGGATGTTTCCTTAAGGAAAGGGCAATGCCCCAGACTGGCAGATTTTGGAACCTGGTGGCATGAAACATACCAGCTCAACACAACACACCAGCAGGATCCAATGCTGGAGTTTAACTGGATGTGAATGGAAAATTGTAATAAGGATATTCCCATAAAGGTACACGGCTGATCAAACACATGCCTTTATTTTCAGAGATTTTACAGAATTCCGCCAGCCAGAAGGAAGGTTTTTATACCCTCTCCCCACTTCCCCGTACTGGTTGTTCCCAGACTGCCTTAAAGGAAAGACATAGGCAAGTTGGGATCCAGAGGTGCCACAGAAAACAGGGAAACACACACTTACCTACAGCAAAGGTGAAATGTCCTTTCTGGCCTGCCCTCAGACTCAGATTTAACGTGGACAATCTCACACACAGAATTGGTCTCTGCATCTAAAGGGAAAAGCAAGCAGAACTTCATGTAACAGCTTCTCATGTTTAACTTGGAAGTATTTATTCCATAATCCTGAAGAAATGGTTTAAGACCACCCAGGACAACAGACAATACGCTGCAAATAATATTAACTCACGGCTGAAAGGCAGCAGTGGGCAAGTATTTTATATGGCAGTATTTTATATGCACCCACTCAGTTCCCATAAAAATATTTTAAAACCCCAACCCAAACAAACAAACAAAACCCACCAAATAAAAAAAAGCAAACCAAACAATTAAACAAAAACCAACAAAACCCCCAAAACAAATGAGCAAAAAACAATCCAGCTATTCAGGTGTTCCATGAAGTACTGTCACATTTTGGGTGGTGACACCCTGGCACAGGTTGCCCAGAGAAGCTGTGGCTGCCCCACCCCTGGAAGTGTCCAAGGCCAGGTTGGACGGGGCTTGGAGCAACCTGGGATAGTGGAAGGTGTCCCTGCCCATGGCAGGGGGTGGGACTGAATGGGCTTTAAAATCCCTTCCAACCCAAACCATTCCACGATTCTATGATTTTACAACTACCTCCAATGTTCTTTCCACTTACACATTAGAAAGTGAGAAAACTGTATAAATCTGTGAAATTTTTCATACTCTAAGCTCCCCATGAAGCTGGCAACCATGAGAACAAAAACCCACCAGTTCTGTTGTCTCACAGCTGCAAACTGCCTTCTAATCTCCAGAAGAGGAATAGAGTGAACCAGAGTCAGCAACTACTTTGCCTTGTTTTTCCAGAATGCAGTGGGAACATTACCTGCACTGGCCAAGGCCCGAACCTGCAGGGCTTCCAAAGGTATCATGTGGCGAAATCGGAACGGATCCCAGTCTTCATAAATTGAAGCTCTATGTGATCCACCCTGGAAGAATTTCAAAACACCATTAGGAAACCAGACACCCTGGGACAGTCAGACACAAGAATCTCCTGTGCTCTGCACTGAGAGCTTCCAGCTACAGACCTGCTGCCATTCTGATTTGCTCACTGCAACACCCACTGAGGTTCCTCTCTGGGATGATCATGCTAAAATCTAGACTGAAGCACCCCATCAGCCTTCCAAAGTCAGTGAGACCAGTGCTGCATTCTCTCCTCCAGGTGCACATACACTCAGGAACACATTTTAGTTTTGCTTTGGCCCCTCTGAAGTCATCCTGTGGCCAGTTGGCTTTACCCACGTGAGCATTTCAAATCACACCTTGGTCTATGCCACAGAGTCCCAAACTCCAGTGGGATCCCTGAGCCATACTGCAAGCACACCTAATTCAGCTGAGAAGAGCCAGCACTTGTTTGGTGGCACAAAACACCCAGGGCACTGTGTTTCACTGAGCAAGATGACAGACATTAAATATTTGCTTCACATACACTGACCAAAGAATCAAACACAAGAGAGATGTTCACAGTATCTTGATTCATGATAATCCACTCCCCAGCATGGAATGGATGTGGCAGGGACATGAATAACTAGTCCAGCAGAGAGTTGAGGATAAAGTAAAGGAATGTTTGCTGCATTCAGGATGAACAGCACATTGCTCAGCACACACCAAGGATCACACATGGAAAAGAACACTCCAGTTCCACAGCTGTATGGAAAGCAGATCCCAGTCACAGCCCCACAAATGCCCACAGCATCACCTAAGCAGTCCATTCAACTTACAAGTTTCTTCTTCTGTTTGGAGCCATCCTTGTATACGAGGACCACGGCAGTTTTGAACACTAGAGGAGAAAGTTAGAGACAAAAGCCATGTTGTCACAGAATCACAAAATCACAGAATGCCTGGTTTGGAACGGACCCGGGGAGATCACCCAGTCCAACCCTCCTGCCAAGGCAGGGTCACCTGGAGCAGGTGACACAGGGACACATCCAGGTGGGTTTAGAATGTCTCCAGAAAGGAGACTCCACACCCTCCCCTGGCAGCTGTTCCTGTGCTCTGCCACCCTCCATGGAAAGAAGTTCTTCCTCATGGTGAGGTGGAACTTGTTGTGGTTTAGTTCATGGTCGCTGCTCCTCATCCTGTCACTGGCACCACTGAGCAGAGTCTGGCACCATCCTCTGACAGCCCTTGGAGATATTTGTGTGGATTGATGAGATCCCCTCTCAGCCTTCTCTTCTCCAGACTAACCAGGTCCAGCTCTCACAGTCTCTCCTCAAGAGAGTCCATAAGGCTGGGAATGGTCTCCTGAATGCCCCAAGCACACAGGCCTTTCAGCTCCTCAGCCCTCACCTGAGCCAGGGAAGGAGGGCTTGGAGAAACCACCAGCCCTCTTGTATTTTCTTCCCCAGAAAACCCCAAACTCAACAGCTTTTACCACACAAACCCAGGCTACTTCAAACTCACTTGAAACTTAAAGAATTTATGTTACCAGTTATAGGAACAACTACTCAAACAGCAACAGTTCTGTACAAATATTTGGAAAAATTAATTCCCCCTGGCTAATTTCACCTCAGACTAATAAGCAGCATCCAGCTACACGCGGTCAGTCAGCAGGAGAGGCTGCACAGGGACAGGATGTGAATTAAAAAGTGAGCACCACTGGCTAGCAGAGATGTAATCCCAGTTTCTTTTTGCCACACCAAATCCACATGGAGCTGGAATTTGCCTTTCAAGATTCCAGTTTTCCTAGTGATCTCTTTCTTCAGTCCTCAAGCACACCCCCTTTGTTTTCAGACTGAACTGCAGGGACACTTAATTTTGGACATTTTATGAAACCAATTTAAAGATTTTGGGAGTAATAAGGAGTTGCTGCACATTCCTAGCAGCTTTCATGAACGGTATAACCAGGTGCTTTCCCAACTTACAGGAAAGCAGTAAATTTCTATATGCTCTTCCAGAGCAAAGCTGAAAGAGTCTTTTTGGTATCTTTGTTATCTTTTTGGTATGTTAAAAAAATAATAACAACTATAATCATCATCATCATCATCATTGGCTTCCTAACCAGCATCACTTTCTGGAAACAAGGTAAAAAAACAGTTGTGTGAGAAGAAATTTAGGAACAAATAGAACTTAGCATATTCTGCAGTACTTGATGTAATTTTTAAAGAGAGAGGCTGGGTTGTGAAGCAGAGTTACTTGACATCGACTGGACTATCAAACCATATCTTTCCAGAGACAAATATATTAATATTAATACAGAGCTCACTATAGCCTTGGACATGAGTTTAAAAAACTCTTGCACTATACAGCAATCTCCAAATTCCTCCCCAGTTTTAGATCACCACAGAACAGAACTGACCATTGCAGCCAAGAGACCAACACAGTTATAATTTCCAGCCAACCTTGCAGAAGGTAATGCTCAGCTACCTTCAGTAAATATCTGCTAAGGCACACGTGACATCTGAAATGAAAGTGGTAGGATACAAACCAAATGCTGCCAGCTCAGGTTCCTTCTTCCACTTCCCCAGTGAAGCAGGAGGATTCAGCCATATCACTGTATTATGCAGGAGCAAATCCCCCATGGAAAGGTCAGCGACCTGCCAGCATGAAGAACACAAGCACAGAGACACAGTGTTTAATGAGTTCAAGGAATCTTATGGGAATTTCCAGTTCAAGAAACTTGCTTGAAGTTTAGTCCTGAACAAACAAAAAATACCCCACAAGTAAACCTTTGGAATATTTCATCAGATGGCCACAAGCATGTGCAAACAGATTGTGACACTTAGCAACAGATCCGTGTAGATCCTTAATTGGTCAGCATAAATTAGGATAAGTTAAACTCACAGAACAGCTCTTGCAATTTGGTGGGAAGTTAGGGCAAAAAAACAGATGTTTTCTTTGCCTTTTCATTTCTCCTTTGTCCATCTTCCTCCCAAGAAGATGGTTTGAAAATGTAAGCACAGCCTCTAATGTATATACTCAGTTTGGGGCAAAGTTTAGAGGTCTTTCTCTTTCTTTATGGTCCCCCAGAGTGATAAACTGAGTGCTACCCCCAGTCCAGGGGTCTGGGACTTTAAGACCCCTTCCAGGGGTCTCAGACAGTCAGCCAAGACTGAGCCACACCAGATCTTCGTGTGCACCACATGAGACCTCCAGCCCACAGCCCCAGGCTCTCTCTCATGCACCAAGCCCCCTAAAATGCTTCGTAAAAGAGAATCAGCAGTTTCTCACACACCACACCTCGCAATTTCATCTCTTCCAAGCCATTAAAATGCCAAGGACAGCCTTGCCTCAGCAAGTCCACTCAAACTAGTGGGGCCAGACGACTGATGTGAAAGGAGGAGAGTCAAGACAAGGATATCAAAATAGTGAAGGGCAGGTTGGGATGAGATTTTGACCCAAGCACAACACTGAAGGTCAATCATCCACTACTTCTTTACATTGGTCCCACTCACTGAACCATACATAATAAAGCAGTTCTAGAATTGAATAGGGATTTATCTGTTTGCACCAGGATCCACTTCAGTGGAACAACAGGAAAGGTAAATATTGGATACAGTTTAACATGCATGCTCCAGGCACCACAATAACAGCCTCTTCCTCTCCAAATCTGGTCGTCTGTTACCTCTTTTTTCTCCCCTGTTTGTTCTGCTATGAGCTGGTCAAACACTGCCCCATATTCCTCATGGATCTTCTGCATTTCATTAATGTGGCTGGCAACCTTGTTCATCGTTTTGATGGCCACTAGAAGAGAGACAGGATGAGAAGAAAAGGAATTTTAAGCCTCTGAGAAGAAGGATTCCAGGTCAGAAATTAAGCAGGGCGAAGCACATGGGGTTAACCCCTTACCATCAAGGTGATAATGTTCTTCACTGTCCACGTCAGTGAGAGCAAAGAGCTCCTTCAGCAGGAGAGGGTATTTCAGGATCCGCTGGATGGGTTTGATGAGGTAAGACTCCAGCGTGGAGGAGTGCTGCCGTCGGGGGTTCTGGGCATCCAGGAATGCCTTGAAAGCAGTGTCTGTCTTGGCTGGAAGATTAAAATGAAGCCATTGGATAAATCAAAAAAAAGCATAAAGTCACTTTTCCAGCTTTAAATTCATTTATCCAGAGCTATTTTGCAAGGAACTGTAGATTTATCGAGTCCACGGAATTAGATTTATGCCCTCCAGGTTTTGAGTCATTGACACTTGCCTTGGACATGGTATTTAGGATTTCACAACAGGTACCCACCTCCACACCAATACAGGCAGGTTTTAATTTCACTGTCCATGGCAGAACAGAATATCCTGAGTTGGAAGGGATCCAAAAAGATCATCCAGTCCAACTTCTGGCCCTGCTCAGGGCACCCCAACAATCCCACCCTGTCCCTGAGAGCATTGTATAAACTCTCCTTGATCTTTGTCAGCCTTGGGGAGCCTGTTCAGTGCCCAGCCACCCTCTGGGGGAAGAATCTTGTCCTGATATCCAGCCTAACCCTCTGTGACACAGCTCCAGCCGTTCCCTGGACCCCGTCTCTGATCACAGGGAGCAGAGGTCGAAGTTGCCCCTCAGAGGAAGCAGCACACAGTAACAAGCACTTTTGACCTTGCAACTATTTTAGAGCAGCTCAAATTGTTTTAATCATCTGTTTCCTTTAAGCAAAGGCTCAAATTGGGTATTTATGAAAAGTCGCTGCTCCTAAGCCCAGTCTGACAGGTGTACCTACAATATTGACAAGCCTGGTTCTTGTTACCTCATTAAACCTTAAAATGCAGCTCTGAACAACCATCAGGAGCCAGTAAGGAGGCAGAAGAGCAGTACACTTATGCTAGGACACCAGATTTTGGGAGCACAGGCAGCCTGGACACCTGATTGCCATCATCTTGCTACCTGACTGCTACTGAATTTGTAAAAATGTCATTTTCTCTGTTGCTCCCCCTACTAGAACATAAGGGAGGAAGCAAGGAGGAGGTGGTATTTTTAGACACACAAGTTATTCAGTGTAGGAACAATTCCACACAATTGCTTTTATTAGAGTCATGTCCCCTGCCAAGGCTGGGTGGTTTTTTTGCAGACAGTCACCTGATTGCAATAAAGCAACTTCAGTTCCAAACCCAAAAGCCACCTGCACCTCAGCTGAGGACACCAAATTACACCTGAAATACACTCCCAGCTTTTTAAGAGATTTATCTCTGGCATGAAATTTTATGTTCTGCTTATGCCACAATTCAAGCACAACCATTTCTCATTTATAAATACAGTCAGCAAAGAAAAATAAAAGCAAAATAACCAGATCTACCTAGTCTACAGGTTTAAAATTAAGGCCCAACAAAATTATTCCAAAAGAAAGCATGGATGTGACTAGCAACAAGTCATTCATTTCTATATCCCACAGAGCTGCCAAATACTCTTTGCAGCATGGGGAATAAAAGTTTACAAGTAGAAATGAAAAAGGAAAAAGTGTGCAAAAAAAATACAACAAAAAAAGCCAAACCAACCAAGAAACAAAAACCCCAAAACTTTGACTGTCAGACATCCAGATGTTCTTTGAAAAATACGAGCTCCTCCCTGATGGCATCGCTCCTACAACTGGAACCATTTGTTTATTCAGTGTCTTGGCCAAAAAGGAATTGCATGAAGCACTGGTAACTCTTAAGAGAGTAACACTTTCACAGGGGCAAAACATCACTCTGAGGCAAGTTGGTCCATAAGCATTTATAATCCAGAGCACAGTTCATTTATCTCCATCTCAGCAAGCCAAGCTCTGCTAGGAATTGAGACATGGAAACTTCTCAGGCAAGCTGGAAGGAAGGCAAGAGGAAGAGGAGAGGGGAGAGGGAGCATGGTGAAGTTAAAATATTTAGGCAGCTTCCACAAAACATTCTCCCAGGCTGCTCCTCTCCTAGTGGCTGCCAACATTCAACCACATCAGCTGAGGATTCAGTGGGATTGCTACTGGCAAGGATTCATGGCACAAACAATCCCGGGAGGATCCAGGGGTCATTACAAGCACCACCACTCCTGGTTTCAAAGTACACAGTGATCCGTTAGCAAAAGCCACACTGGCCTTTTAGGAAACCTTTCCCACATGACTGAAAAGTGTCAGGGGAGAATAAATTAGCATGGAGAGAAAAACTCCACGCAAGGTTAACCACCTCTTGAGATCAGCTCCTCGGGTATCATCCCATCGAGGGTGGTCCCAGAACACCCACGGCACAGAGCTCTCCGTGAGCCTCTCGGGCCAGATGGACTTACTTCCCTCCTGGAAAAGCACCCAGGCATGTGTGTGCCCCCACTGCTGCCCCACAACATGGTTTGGGGTGCAGTGGTCACCTCTCTCCATCCACAAGGCCAAGCTGTGCCAGCCCAAACCGAGGTGTGGCTGCGATGGCTCTCCCTGTCTTTGTCCAGCACGTGGCTCTCACCTTTCACCAGGACTTTGGGGACTTTCGTGTGGCTGGCACAGAAGGCACTGTACAGCTTGAACCGGTCAGCGTAGTACAGGAAGGATCCACCCAAGGAAAACAACACTTTCTAGGATTTAAAATTAAAAAAAAGGCATTACTAATTAAAGCACATGAAAGTGTTTAGCTCTTTTCCCTCATCTGAAGCTTTCACTGAGCTTTGGGATGACAGGACAATGCATTTTTAGAGTGTTTTCACATCAGGACATTGACCTGTTGGATCAAGTCCAGAAGAGGCCAAGTTGGTCAGAGGGATGGAGCAGCTCTGTTGCGAGGAAGGGCTGAGAGAATGGGATTGCTCAGCCTGGAGAAGAGAAGGCTCCAGGGTGACCTAATTGTGGCCTTCCAGGACCTGAAGGGAGTTACAAGAAAGATGGAGAGAGACTATTTTCAAGGGCCTGGGGTGACAGGATAAGGGGGAATGGTTTCCCACTGACAGAGAGCAGGGTTAGGTGAGATATTGGGAAGAAATTCTTCCCTGTGAGGGTGGGGAGGCCCTGGCACAGGTTTCCCAGAGAGACTGTGGCTGCCCCATCCCTGGAAGTGTCCAAGGCCAGGTTGGAGCAACCTGGGATAGTGGAAGGTGTCCCTGCCCATTTCAGTGGGTGGAACTGGATGATCTTGAAGGTCCTTTTCACCCTAAACCATTCTGTGATTCTGTGATTCATTCACCAAGAAACAGGCTCAGCCTTGGTGCGTGGATTAACACATTAATTAACAATTATAATAATAATTAACATCATTAGCCAAGTCCCAGTCTGAAGACACCACTAACTCCAGAGGGACTGGGCTCACAGCTCCAGAGCTGCGTTTAAAAGCCTTACTGAGCTCAGTAATGGCCAGAGGCCACCAAGAAGGCTGGATGGATCTGACATCAATGGATCAAGACACTAAGGAGCTGTGCAAGCAACACTCATCCCTCTGTACAAACACACCCAGGCCTTCACTTTCTTGGACTGAGTTTGTGTTAGGGGTAAAGACAGTCCTCCCCTAAGATGTCTTATCTTTTCCTCGGTGTTTGCTCTGTTACCCACTTAGGAACCAGACAACACGTGGTGGGGGGGGCTGAGACAACACGTGGGCAGGAGAGGGAACCAAACTGCAGAACTGAAACCACGGAGCCCCATAGCCCCATATTTCACACACTGCTTTCCAGACAGTGCCCACAGGGCAGAACTGAAAGTGAGGTTGGTGCACTTTTTATGGAAAGAGGTGGGAGCAGCAGCACTCAGAGGGCAGAGTTCTCTCCATAAGGAGGCTTCTCTGGCACTCCTCTCTCAAAGCTCAGAGCACACAGGGATCACAGAGGCTTCTCTGTGCTCTCCACGAAGTGCACATTTCCTACAAGAGCTGTGTTCTAGTTCCATGAGAGCAGTGTTCATGATTGAGGCTCATTTTAAACAAACTCCCAATGGCAAAGACACACATGGACAAAAAGACAAATTCTTTCAGTAGTTCTTCCAGGGCTGTATGTTAGCTGAAGAGAACCCCAGTGGAATCACTATTATTCATCAAGACATCCTGTCCTTTACCAAGGTGAGTGCTCAAAGCCAGAGCAAAATTCCCCAGAGAGAACACTCAGCTACTTGCCATATCTCCAGTACCAGTACAACTGCATTAGAAAGAAAACAAAATTTGTTCCCAAATTTTCCTGGGTTTTATATGAAGTTTACATATCTGCAGTTTACATTTCTACCTGTGATGATGCACATCTGCTGAGAGCTGAAAGTATTTGCCATGTAGTTCCACTATAGATCAAAAGTCCAAATAGAGAATTCAATGTGCTGTTCTGATCTGCAGCCCCACTGGGCTTCCGTACATTAGACTTGTCAGAGCAAAGATTTTATGTAACTTTCCATTTCTAGCTTTTCCTGACAGCTCAAGGCAGGAAATCTGGCAGAAGGGCAAGAATAGCACCCAGAAGCACATGGTGTTACAGGTTTCTAGTGCTCTATATGGCTAAATGTAGCATAAAATTCAAGTGTAGCAGGATAATTTTTGAACAGCACCAGTATTAGCTGAAAATTAATCCTGACTGGGACCAGATGCATGTTTTTACATGAACAGTGACAATAGTCAGAAAAATATGATGAAGAGTGTCAAAGGACTCCTCAAAGTGTAAACCATGAGATTACCTTAAATTGCTCAACTTTTTCAAGCTTTTCCAGGTCTGGAACCAGCCTTACTCCATCTTCCAAAGTTTTCAAGAACTCTACTTGGAATGCTACCATTTCAGTCAGATTCCCAAAGAGAACATCCAGCTAATGAGAGGAAAAAAAAAGACAAAATGCTGAAAATATCACTTGGTAGCTAAATCGTATTTTCTAGAGCTTCAGTAATTCTCAGTTGTATAATCAGGGTGATGTCAGGAAAAAACAACCTACACACTGTACATTATTGAGCACTACTTTTATACCCTCCTAAATTCACTATTTGAAAAAAAAATGGACTTAAAAATTTCAGGCAAGCAAGTCCAGCTGGGGGTGGGCAGAGAAGAGGGGCAGGTGAAAGCTCTCAGGCAAAAAGACAAACAGTCAACATACCTCATCCGGTGTGAGGAACGTTTCCTTTTGTAGAGGCTTCAGGTATCTCTCCATTAGACAATTTAAGTCCTAAAAAATCAGAAAAAGATGCCCACGTTGGTCCCTTAAAGTGCCTCTGTGGACATTTATTGAAGTGGCAAAGATCACTGCTTACCCAGTGCAAAATTCCTGAGAATTTTTCCTTTTCACACACAGGACAAAACAGTTGGATTTCACACAGTTGAAGGACAGCAAAAGGAAACATTTACACAGTTTTACTTCCAAAATCATTGAGCAGTGTCCCTCTGTATGCCAGCTAAGTAGCTTCACAACAGCAGCCTTAGAATTTGGAAAGCCTGCTCATTTCAGAGTTTTAAGTTACTATTTTAGGGTCAGACTGCAGAACTGAATGCAAGTTCACTAAGAGATACATGCACGAAGCAGAATTTGAAGTATTAGAGAAGAACCAACACAATTTTACAAGAAATAACAGACTGAAGCAAGACATGGAGCCCCCTTACCTTGACATAGGTGCGTTCTGTCTCCAGGAGCTCACAGATGACCTTCCGCAGCTTGTCTGCGTCTGTGAGTTGTCTCATGGTGGCCAGCTGGGGTCCTGCAAATTCCTGAGGGTGAGCACTGGAGTCAGAAGGGTTCATTTCATGCAGACTGCGACAGAAAGCAGCGACCTGCTCTGTGCTCTTGAAAAAGAAGGAAGAGGAAAGACCGGCGGTAATATTTTAAGTAAGAGTCACAGGAATGATGGAGCTGAGAAGTGTTTGCAGTTTAGCAGTTGCAGTTTGGGGACTTTCTAACGGGCACCAAAGTCCAGAAGTGTCTGTCCTGTCTCTCAGTGACTGAGGATAAGGGGGGAAAGCAGGGGGGAACCCAAAAAACAAAACAGTTGCACAATTCAAATTAATTGAAGTGCTGTTCAATAGCATTCCTGGTTTCAGACATACAAGAATTTTAATTAAAATAGGCTCGTCCAGCAATCAAGATTGACAAACTAACAAAGAGGCCCAAGAATTGGGAACAAAAAATGACCATGCAAAGAAAACACACACCCCAGCCCTCTGCCAGTTCCCTAATTGTTTGCTACAGTCCTGGGAATAGCTGTGTCAACACATCCGAGGAGACAATGCTGAGGCAGAACCCATTCAAGCTGTTTTTGGGGGAAGCAAAGCCATCCATGGAGCCAAAGCCTCTCCAGGCTCCAAACACAAGTTCTTTGGGAAAGTAACTGTACACTTGATATGTGCCTGGAAACATACCTTGTAGGGTGAATTTCTTCCCCAGAAGTCACGTTTTGCAGAGCTGCTACATCAAGCTAATTTCTTTATATATAGACACCTGATTAAATATTAAAGCCAGTTATCCTTGCCTCACCTCCTTTGTTAGATCATATTCTCACATCTTTCATTACACTGAAAAGTTTGGAGCAGGCAGGACCTCTGGTGTCAGTGACCACAGCCCCAGGCTCCTGGGGTTGCCAAAGCAGTAGTGTGCTCTGTCTCCATCCCTCCCAGAGACCTGGAGGGAAAGGAGCTGCTCCACTGGATCACACCTCTCTAATCCTACCATGGGATCTTGATCCAGATGCAGTGATTTCCCAGCACTGCCTCTACAGCCCTCTAGTTCATACTAAAAGTCCTGTGAGGAGCAGCTGAGGGAGCTGGAGAAAAGGAGGCTCAGGGGGGACCTTCTGGCTCTGCAACTCCCTGACATGAGGGGGGAGCCGGGGGGGGGTCGGGCTCTGCTCCCAGGGAACAAGGGACAGGAGGAGAGGGAACGGCCTCAAGCTGTGCCAGGGGACGGTCAGGTTGGACAGCAGGAGGAATTTCTTAATGGAAAGGGTTGTTAAACATTGGAAGGGGCTGCCCAGGGAGGTGGTGGGTCCCCATCCCTGGAGGTGTCCAAGGAAGGACTGGGTATGGCACTCAGTGCTCTGGGCTGGGGGACAAGGTGGGCATCGGGCACAGGGAGGACTCAAGGGTCTCAGAGGGCTTTTCTCTGTGATTCTGTGAAACAACTGACCCAAAATTAGCCTGTTCAAACAGAGATATACGAGGGAGGAGGAAAAACTAACAAATAAAGAGAGAGAATAAAGCACATCACCACCTTGCAGTTTGGAGTCAGAGCCCTTCACTCCCACCAGCTGGTAGTGCCAAAAAAACTCCGCCTTTTTTAAGCTACACAGCTAATTCCCTCTCCATCCACCCACAATCCATGCTAGGGACAAGTAAGGATTTCCTGCCCTTACACAGTGGCTTTCCTTAGAGGTCTCTTATGGCTACAAATGCTCACAAAAGGTACCACTTCACAGCATATGAGTACAGAGTTATTATGCAAAGGATCATTTTCTTCAGGACACAAGTGTAAGCAAGGAACTAACTGTGACTGACTGTCTATACAAAAAATGCCTCCTGGACACACTTTTTTACAGGGAAAATATGCACCTTTGGTTTCTGAGGTTTAACTCAGATGTGGAAGAAAGGAAAAATATTGCAAATTGAGGACAGGAGGAAGCAGTGAGTTAAAAACAGTTTACTTGCAACTAACTCTGCTCCTGGTAATGGCACATGTCACGGAGTTAAGATTTATTAGTCAATATAATTCCTGTTATTTCTCAGCAAGGTTCCACCTATACTCACTGTACTTTAAGTATAAAGCACACACAAACTTTTACATTACATATGCATTTCCACAGGTGTGATTTGGATCCCAACAGCCCCAAACTCCCAAAAGGCAGTAGGTGAAAGCCTGGCTCCAGCGGAGGCAAAAAAAACCCTCCCAAGTTCCCTGCTCTGCTGGAAAGGGACACAGAACTGACAGTTCACATATGTTAATCTGAGCCTGCAGAGACCCAGGATACACAAGGGTTTGCTCAGAAATGTTTAGCTTGAAAACTATTTTGTAAACAAATATTTGAGGAACACATATCCAGCGGTGTTTTGCTTTAAGGTCCAAACGTACAGATAAAACTAGCTGTAATGTATAAAACACAATATGGAATCAAGCTCCAGAAATAAACCAAGTGTTTCAAGTAGTTCATGCTTGATACCCCACAGACTTCTCACCATGCTGTGCATGCACTTGCAGTAAGTTCCAGGGAAAGATGGGTCACCCAGAAAGAGAGAGCAAAAATCTACTTAGGGTGTGAAACACCAGCTAAGCAGTGAAGTTGAAAATTGGATAACTCACACAGGCACGTGGTCTGTCCCAGAAGGAGCAGTTACACCCATATGCCAAAAAGGAAGCGTAGAAGACTTCTCAAAGCCTTATCTCCACTTGCACACGTAATAAGCCACCCCTGGGATCCAGCCACGTCCAGCTCCAGCAGCAGCTGAATGTTGCCTCTCCTGAAGAAGTGCCCACCTATCACTCACCCCACACTCTCTGGACAGACAAAAAGTCTCCAGCACAATAATTCACAAACTCTTGCAATTGTGGTGTGTGACATCTCCCCCTTCCCCACTTAAGCCACAGCCACCAGTGGGGGCTGTGATGGCTCCATCCAGCTTCCCCCAGATTTTGGGGGCTGCAAAGCTACACAACAGTCAAGGGCTGTCTGGAACACTGACCCAGATGTCTTGCTGCTGTGCAAATGTGACTATAAATCAACCACCTTAGTCCATAAACAGTGGACATTCCAGGGCCTGTTGAGCTGCCTTGCAGGGCAGTGAACTGCACACCAGGATCTGCCCTTGGGTAGGGAGGGCAGGGACATATCTCAAGGTTCCTCCTGGGGGATTCCTTGCCAAAACAGATTCCCGGTTAGTGATCAGCAGCATGCTAGACTTGGAATTCTTAGCCAAGAGATCTACAGGATTGGCTTTAGACATAAACCCTTGACCAAGCCTGGGACTAGGAGTGGATCCAGCTGCACCTAAACCCCTCTCCAAGAAGGAGCTTAGAAAGCAACAGGGTCCTTTCTGAACTTCATGACTCAAAGGAAGGCCCCCCAACCACTTCATCTGACCCCGCCCTCTATGCAGTAAATAACCAAGTGTACCTTGCCATCAAGTCTTGTTAAACCACTGTCACACTGACCAACCAACTTTGCTAACTTACCAGTTTATATCAATAAAGTAAATTATTGCTTCTCTGTTACAACTGAAGTGCACAAATCCACAACTGCTGTGTTTCGTTCCTGAACATAATCCTGCCTACCCTGTATTGCCTTTAAAAAATCAATTTCCAGATAGAAGGCAGGTGAACACTGCACACAGGGTGCTTCAGGACACAGCTATTTTGAAGAAAACTCTCAAACACATTTCACAAAAGCCTCTCTGTCCCCATTTTCTTGGAGAAAGTGGATAGAGCAGGGAAGGTCTGGAGCAGAAGCAGATCCTTTTATCTCCCTACACCAGCTCTGTTTGCCAGCTGCAACAGTGACAGCACTAAAGCAGGATTTCTCCAGGAGAATTACAGCATCACACTTCAAGGACAATTCTGCAAGCAATCCCTTCTAGCAACCCCAAAATGAGACTGAGGGCTGGCACAACTGGGCTGTGAAGTGGAGTAACCCTTCCTCTGCAGGGGGCTCAGCAGAGGGACTAAGCTCACATCCTTCCCATGCAGGAGGATCAAGTCCTTACACTCACCAAGCATGGGGCTGGGAGTTTTGGCTGCCTGCCCTGTAGTTTTGAAAGCTGAGTACCATTTCTCATGTTTAAAGATGTACAGGCGCCTGGGCATCAGGCAGCTGCTCCCTTGAATGGCACAGAGTACCCTCTGTTCCACCAGGGACAGCAAGCTCTAAGCAGCACTGACCTCCCAAACAAAACTCAGGCAAACTGCATCTCTTCAGGCACTGCAAGGTAAGAAGAAGCCTCAGCAGGGCACACACGTTACAGCTCAGCCTCATAGTAACCCCCAAATTAACACCTCACAATAACCCATTTAACTGCTAACTCCTGAGCCCATCCCAAAGCACAGCAGGTCTGCTCACCAGGTACAGCAAACGGTACAGGGAGTCCCCGTCTCTCCCAGCGCCCTCAGTCCTGAGCTTACGGTTCAGCCTCCAAGGAGCCGACATCGCTGGGAAGGCAGGACTGCCAGGGCTGTCACTCATCCAGCAGGAAAACCCCAGTGCTGCACACACTCAGCTGATCCAAAGGGCTTTCCCGCTCCAGACGGAGCCCTTGTGCTCCTTCCTTGGGCGTGCAGCTGGGATCTCTGCCGCAGCTCAGCGGGGAAGGGCAGTGCCCATCCTTCTCCCAGCAAAGCCTCCCCGTGGGTGTCACTTGCCGCCCGCTCACCACATCGGTGGGAATTCAGAGCCAGGAACCAGGAAAAGCTGAGACCTCGGGGCTGTTTTCAGAGGGAAACTTCAGCAGAGAGGCTGAAATGCAGCAAAGCAGCAAAGGCAGCCTGGGAATATCAATGTGTGTTGCCTGTGGCTGAGCAGGAGCCGATTGGCTCCGAACAGCACTGCTGAGGAATATTAAACATCTGAAGGGACAGAATTAAAAGAACTTAAAAGAGCCTGTTATGCTGCTGCAAAACCGACCCCTCAAATCCCTGTTTTAATCCTTTCACATCTATTTTGCAACACATTGAAGGTTTGAAGACTTAATTCTGGTCTCAAATAATGCTGCAGAGAGCAGACGACCTACTTTCTTGGAAAAGAAATACCTCTGAATGGTGTAAGCATGTGCTCACACAGCCCATCACAACAGCTCCCCCAAGCACAAGTGCTGCGAGGTAATTAGCCTTTAATGCAAGAGGCAGATGTCTTTAATTAGAAACGGGAAGAAATGAGTGTCCTGCAGTATTTTGACTGGGGATGCCTTTTAAAACACATCCCCGGTAAGTTCAAAGCGCCATTACATGAAAAAATACACAGAAAGACTGATTTTTGAGATCAAACACAACACCTGTCTTAGCCTTTGGTAACATGCAATGTTAAGAACTTGCACATATGCACAGTTTTCAGGGCGCCTCGTTTGAACCTCAGTTTATTCTACAATATTGAAAAGACCAAAACAATCAGGTCACCACAGAGGAAAGTAACCATTGAAGAAATTAGGCTGGTATGAAATGTTCCTGGCATTCTGTTGAATAGAGATTGACAGAGAAGCATCCCCTGTCATAAACAGCCTGAAATTCCAGTTCACATGTTAGATGAAAACAGGCCTGAAGAGGTGTCAGAGAGCAGATTTTCCTTTCCCCCACTCTCCTCCCTCCCAGCTCTCTCCTCCTTGGCTCCCACATGAAATAGGGAGAGAAAAGAAAGCCAAAAGCCCACCCCAGAGCAAAGCAACTTGTAGAAAAACTGAAGGCCACTGCCAGTTGACTTTAAGTCACTGCCATGACTTAAAGAAAAAGGGTTGCACCCAGAAAGCTACTTGCTAGGATTCACAGAGATTTCAACCTGAGATAAGAGGGCGAAATTAGATAGGGGGTGAGTCCAGAGAGCAACAGCTATCCCACACCACTGACACCTTGGAAATGGGTTTCTAGCATTTTATCAGAACAGTTCTACAGACACCTCATTTTTCCTTATTATATATAATATATATATGTAATTATTACTTTGGCAATAGTGATGGAGAAGCAAATTCTACGTTACCAGCCCTTTCAGATGTACCTAAACCAAGCTTTGCAGAAAATGGAGGAATCCTCGGAGCTACTGCTGCACCCTCCAAATCCTTCACCACCACACCAACAGCTTGGAAGCTTTTGCAGATTAAGAAACAAATGCACCCACTACTAAGGAAACACACACCCACGTGCACACATGCTGGGCTGGGGGAAGGGACAGAGACAGCCGGAGGGAGGAGGAGGAGGAGGAGGGGGAGGAAAAGGAGGAGGAGAAGGGAAGACGCATTCGAAGACACATCCATCTACCTGTCACCTGCATGAGAAACGTACCAAAAAGTCCCAAACCCAGCTTTTGGTAGGATTTCCCAGCGCTTACCTTCACACAAAGCCCGTGCTAGGAGAGCGGATGGAGGAGAGCTGCGGCGCTGCCTTCCTCTCCTTTTTCCATGAATTATTAATGCTCCCCTAGGATCACTCGGGGAAGCTGGGAGCCATCCTCCTCTGCAGCCGTGGGGTTGGCAGGATGCAGCCCTGCCCCAGGACCATGTTATCACACGGCTAAGGACACTCCAAAGGCTATTTTCGGCTCTTTAATGCTGGTTCTGCCCTGAAAGAAGGGGAGCTCTGCATTTGGCTGGGAGGCTCCAACACAGGTAAAATGGATTTCCTCTGCTGCACAGCAGTGAATGGGTGAGAGCTCCTGCCCTGCTTTAGCCAAGAAGGGCAGAAATACAAAGGGAGCCTCCCCCAAACACCGCCATCCGAGGGAGCCTGGAAGCTGTGGCCGGGATGGTGATAAGGGGGAACGTGCCCTTCCTGGGGGGACGAGGGCAGAGCCTTTCCCTTCCCACGTACAAAAATAACCCCTGTAAAACAGCGCTGAGGACATCAGCTTAATCTGCTGTGCCATAATCCCAGGAGCATGGAAAGGTGTGGGAGTGCACGGACAGGAAAACACCTTTGTTTTTCTCCTCACTTGCACCAGCCCAGTGGTGGCTCCCCATGGAAAAACACCAACTGCAGAATCCTTGCTTCCCATGCAGATCAGCTTTCCCAAGCACACAGAAAAGCAAAAGGATTAGGAAAACCCTCCTGCTGATTGGGCCTTTTTCCCCCCCCTCTACTATATACTGGAATTATCTATAGGCACTGCAGAATAATTTGGGGGGTTCTGTGGTTTTCATTAGAAAGGAACCAGCAAGGAAGCCCACTGAGTACAGAGCTCTTCTGTGTGAGCAGGGACAGCAGCATCCATGACTTTGCCAAACTGAGTACATTGTATATATACTATATGTACGTGTCCTTTTTTTTATGAGAGACCATTTCAAGCAGCTTGTCCCACAAAAAACAGAACACTCAGTAAAATGCCTCACTCCCCTCTACATCACACAAATATAGTACATGTATCTGCATTTCAAAAGAAAACACGTAGTGATGTCAACATTTCATTTACATGCAGGCAGAAGTTCCCCCCGTTGGAAACCAAGGCTCCTCAGAGCCAGGAGTTACTTTTCCAGTCTGTGAATATTAAGCATTAAAGCTGCTAACGTGAATTTCTCAGTTTAACTAAATCTGCTGAGCCGCAGAGCTAATCGTGTAATCCTTACGCCTTCCTTCAGGCAACTACAGCTCCGAGGATGCAGGAGGCAGGATGCAAAATGGAACCCCACAGCCTGTCGAGCAGCTCAGAAATAGAAAGCCATGGGAAACACAGCGAGAACATTTATCCCCCGAGCAGCCATGTGTTATGCTCAGTGCTCTGCCACAGCTCCGGCGTTTGACAGAAGAGGCTCTGCTCAGAGCATATGAAAATCCCAAATGTTTACAGTTAAAAATCCCGAAGTATCAACAAACACTTCCGCTCACTGAAGAAGAAATTATTTGTACTTACAAGAAAAAGATCTGTAATAAACCCTGGTAACAAACTGCAGGAGTAATCACCTTCTCTGCACGCATTTCACGCACTGGAATGTTTTCCCTTATCTGACTTCCACTGTCTGGCTATCAAAGACAAAACCACAGGCTGGAGGAGGACAAAAGGGATCAGGAAACAAGAGGCCAAGGTCTTTTCCTTCCTTTCTCTACCGTAGAGTAGCACAGGGACCAACTCAGAGCTCACTAGAACACATCTTAGTTAAAATAAGAGAAAACATCCCCAAACTGAGATCTGATTCTCATTAAATCATTAATTATGTAGAAAAATGGCTGTAAACTCTCACCATCACCTGCAACAAACACCTAAAAGCAATCAGCACCTTCAAGACAATCTCACTTGATTCTGCCTCAAAAGCCACTAATCATCACACCTACTGTCCTGTGAAGGACCCCAGCAGTTCACCCCAGAGTGTGAACTACCAACCACTGCGAAACCATCCCTTAATCGATGGCAATTAGAAACCCATTTGCACAAGCTCTTAGTTATAACTGGAGGGTTTTGCTTCAGTTTAAGGTAGATGATTAGTTTGCATTTAAAAACCAGCATGTGTGCTTTAAGGAGATACAGTTTAACTTACATTCCTCCTATGCCTAGAAATCAAGGAAGAGTAAGAAATGGTAATAATCCAAGTGGTCTTTTGGCTTAGCAGAGCTGCCCTGGTGAAGGAGGTGATGAACCAGCTCGTGTAAAAACTATGTGGGAACATTATCACAAGATACTGGAGACGTGAACCGACCCTGGAAACAGGGCACAAGTCTTGCTTAAGAGGGAGCAAGTGATGTGCCATAATCAAAGCTGTAATTTGTTCCATTCAAGCTCATCCGTAAACACCTTGAAAGTAAGATCAATCTTCCCAGGAGAGGTGCTCTAACCAGCACCTGGGCTGTGGCTGCACTGAGCTTCCATGTGAAAATGAAAGTTTCTCACCTTGCTCATCTTATCAGCCTCGTCCGACGACTCCAGGTCCTGTGTTTCCGCCTCCTCTGGAGCTGTGTCGGCAGAGCTGTCCGGGTCACCACAAAGGGAGTGCCCTGCCAAAATGGAGATGTGTGAAAACACAGCCAGAAACCCCAAAAAATTTGGGTGCAACCACAGAGCTCCCGTGGAAGGCCAGGCCTCATCCCGCACACAAGCACATTCCAACAGGACGTTGTGCCGGAGGCACTCGGTGACCTCAACGGAGGGTTTACAGCACCAGGTTTAACAACAGGTGTAAAAATAAACAGGTTATGGCCAGACACACTATTTAGTCAGAAACTACAAAAGCCAGTTCAGAGATAAGGCTAAAATGTCACATTGAAATTCTTACATTCAGCATTTGTTTCTTGGCTGGTGAGCAGTTGCCAAGGACCTTTATACCTCAGTGGTTTCGAATGGGAACTCTGGTATGCAGTGCAAGCCTTGGTCAGCCCTTCCCCTGGGTTAAAGTCAGACATGATGACTCTAAATGGCTTGCAGCTTCGGCCTAAGACACCCACTTCTGAGTCTCTGTGTTGATTTTTAAGGAAGCAAACCCAGTTTTAGCAATTTTAGGAGCCCATTACATTAACTGAACACTAGATCTCATTTCCATCACTACATGGCAATACCTCTGCACCCCTGAGCACTCTCCTGGAGACTGTGTTGTTGATACAGCTGGTAACTCCTTTGTGACTTCTTGTCACCAAGTGACTAAAGAAGAGAACTAATCCCAGCCCCAGAGCTCTGTGCACAAGTAACTTTTTTCTGACTTTTTCTCTGGCTCAGGTAGCTGTAAGAGGCAGTGTTACTACACCTTTGCCACTTTTCACATAAAAACAAATTTTATATCCATCCAGCTCCCAGCTATGGCAAACCACACTGACCAGTGATGGACTGAACTCTGCCAGGAATCTCCTGTGCGCCTCGAGCCAACATAAAGATATTTTACAGCAGCTGAGTCCACGCACTAATTCCTTTTATCCAGAAAGATGGAAAGAGACTATTTACAACGGCCTGGAGGGACAGGACAAGGGGGAATGGCTTCAAACTGACAGAGGGCAGGGTTAGATGGGATACTGGAAGAAATTCTTCCCTGTGAGGAAGGTGAGGCCCTGGCACAGGTTGCCCAGAGAAGGTGTGGATGCCCCATCCCTGGAATGTTCGAGGTCAGGTTGGACAGAGTTTGGAGCAACCTGGGATAGTGGAAGGTGTCCCTTTTAGACCCCATTATGAAAAATGATTTGCATGACTGTGCAAGATTTCCACATTTTTGTGTCTAGAAATAATTTGGAAAAATTGAAATTCAGAAACTGAGAAATAAATTCAGAACATATTCTGCACACTGGGATGGAGCTAAACTGGACATCAGTGAAATGAAAAGGACATAAAAGGTAGTTCAGAGTTGAGCTTCTGGAAGACAGGCTTCTCTTCTGAAAAGGCAGGGTTTATTGTTGAAAAAGATGTGGCTGTAGGGGTTGTTTGGCAACACAAAATTTACCTGAAGAAGTGGAGTTTTTTCTGTAAGAGGTTTGTTTTTCTGAGCCTTGCCCAGATTTTATCAACTCGCACTATCAGCTTTCTGTTCTCCCTATTAATGTGTGAAAAAGAATTCTTAAACCCATTGAGCTGTCCATTTCAAAAATAAGAGAAAAGAAGTTCTGTGTGTCATAATCTCTGTGGGGCAGTCTGTTTTTCTTCATTGCAATTAGTTTCCCATTACAAGCTGTGTGAAATACACTTTACAGTGGTTTCTCAGCCCAAACCAAGGCAATTATTTTGGGGAGGTGGCTGCTTTCTGCTTTTAAGCAACCACTTTTTCTCTTCCTGAATGTTAAAACACCACTTAATCTGTTTCCTGCAGTATAAACACTTTTACCCAGCAGACAGCAATCTCTCACTCTAGCAGTCACACAGCACGTGTGCTCAGGGTATTTCTACTGTCCCCAGCTGCCAAAGCCAACTCGACTTTAGCAGCTTTATCTGCTGGTTGTTAAATGCAATCAGATCAATAATGCTGCACGTTCCTGCCTGTTAATACCTCCCAGTTACCGTCCCACTTCTGTCAGGTTCATTACATCACCTTCTTTTTGCCCTGTAAATCTTTATTTAGCTCTGCCAGGAGCTCTGAGGAGAACGTGCTCGTTTCCTTCAGCAGCCCCTGAGTGCTGCCTGACCACTGCCATTCGCTGCCTTCACTTGACATTAAGGAATTAGAAAGGGAAATCCAAAAAGCTGCAGGAAAAGGGGGTCAAATCCACACGGCCACCAGCACAGATGGAGGTCACACAAGCTCCCAAGTTGCCTCAGCAGTGTAATATCCATGACATTGTGACTAATGCCCATTAAATAACTCCCACTTATAGCCAGAACTAGCAAAATAAAAGGAAGTCTTATATCACTGGAGTAAAGGTGCTGGGGCTTAAAGGCTTGGAGAATCATGGAAAGCTTAAGCACCAGGCCAACACCTGGCTAAAATTTTCCACAGCTGCTGCTTCTAGTTTGTAGGGTTGGAGATTTTAGCGAGACCTCTGTGATACTTGGTACCACTCTTAAAGCCAGCCTTTCTTGGTGCCAGACTACATTTTTTTTTTCAACACAGTGGAAATGAAAACCCCGAGGCAAGCTCTGCCAGCTGTGGTGCAAGGCTCAGAAGCGTCAGCTCCACTAACCCAAAAGGCAGCCCACAAATCAGGAACCCTGCATCTAATTCCCGAGGGTGTGGAATGGGCAACGCTGGATTTAGCCCTCCCAGTGGCAGCAATGAGGATGTGCTGGCAGGGGCTGCCACGTGCCAGCAATGCCAGAAGTAAGGAGGGCTCGGAGGGTTGAAAGCTTTGGTTTGTATCTTTAAGGTGCCTCGGTCTCTTGAGCAGGTTGTTTAACACAGCTCAGAGCCCCACACAACACCGAGGCAGAGCTCTGGCCATAAGCTAAACCACAACAAGTTCCCCCTCACCATGAGGAAGAACTTCTTTCCATGGAGGGTGGCAGAGCACAGGAACAGCTGCCCAGGGAGGATGTGGAGTCTCCCTGTCTGGAGACATTCCAGACCCACCGGGATGAGTTCTTGTGTCACCTGGGTGACCCTGCCTTGACAGGGGGGTTGGACTGGGTGATCTCCAGAGGTCCCTTCCAATCCTGACTATTCTGGCATTCTCTCTGCCATTAAGCAGAACATTTTAATACAAATTGTTAGGGAACTGTCGCTCAGATTAAATTTTTATTTAAGGTGACATTTTGCTATAAATCCACAATAAAAAAGGTGAGTGTACATTTTTTCTTTCATGCAAAAGAATTCTAGTTAGCTCTGAAACACTGAAACATGAAAGAAGGAAATATCATTTTTACACTGGGGCATTCTGTCCCATTGGGAAGTCCCACAGAACTGATAACTTCTCCAAAGACCTGGAAAACTGAGCTACAGCTGCCATAGTTTCAGTCAACCAAGCTACCAGGAACTAACTGGGAAACTCTACAATTCACAGAGACCTACAGAACAAGCCCCATAAATCTCTTTACATTTTGAATCACAGAATCATTTAGGTTGGAAAAGACCTCTGAGATCATCGAGTGCCCCCTGTGCCTGACGCCCACCTTGTCCCCCAGCCCAGAGCACGGAGTGCCACAGCCAGGCCTTCCTTGGACACCTCCAGGGGTGGGGACTCCACCACCTCCCTGGGCAGCCCCTTCCAGTGCCTGACCACCCTTTCCAGCAAGAAATTCCTCCTCACATTCAACCTGGACCTTCCCTGGCACAGCCTGAGGCCATTCCCTCTCCTCCTGTCCCTTTTCCCTGGGAGCAGAGCCCGACCCCCCCCGGCTCCCCCCTCCTGTCAGGGAGCTGCAGAGCCAGAAGGTCCCCACTGAGCCTCCTTTTCTCCAGGCTGAGCCCCCCCAGCTCCCTCAGCCACTCCTGCTGCTCCAGCCCCTTCCCCAGCTCCATTCCCTTCTCTGGACATGCTCCAGCCCCTCACTGTCTTTCTTGAAGTGAAGGAACTCTCTTGCTTCTCTTTCCATTCCAACGGTAATAAATTGTCAAATACAGAAAAATCTACAGTGAATGTCATTCAGTTCAATCCCTCTCCTAGGGAAAAATGCAGATTCATTGAAACTTGCCCTGTACCAACTGTACTGTGGCCACTTTCCACCCTCCCCAGGCCAGGAGCTGAGTCAGTGCTTGAGAAGTCCGTTGGGAATAAACGGGAGTTTCCATAGGCATACAAATGAAGTGTGTGCTCAGAGACCTTGGGACATCAGGAATTCAGTAACACCATCCTCACTCCGGCAGGGGGCGCAGCAGCACCACAGGAGTTTTGGGAATTTGGGATGAAAAACGTAATTCTAATCCCCAAACCCTCCGATGGCTGCGGCAGGAAATGCTCCTGGAACTGTTAAATCAAGCCCTGAATGAGAACAGTACTTTTTCCTGAAATTATCCGTCTTCCTCATGAAAATAACCATGAAGAAATTAAGGTTATTGTTGGCCTCAGCTCATTCTGAAATCCAAATTACTTATCCCAAGGGGACCTGTGACAGAACAAGGATGGAATAAAAAATAGTGGCCCATCCTTACAGTGCAAAAAAAGTTTGTTTCAGCTTTATACCACAGACTTTAGAGTGTGTAACTTCAGCCTCTGGGTGCTTTGTAAACAACAAAATAACAGATCCTCAGAAACACCTGGGTGCTTCCTATCTTAAATAGAGCCATTCCAAACGGGGGGCACTTTCTTTTTTAGCCTTTATCCATTCTGCACGGTGATTTATACACTTCACAGTTATCCCTGCAGAGTTATCCCTCATGCCAAACAGTCTCCAAAATACAGGAGCATGCAAAGCCTAAACCGCAGAAATTCTACCCCAGAGTTAAAAAAAAGAGAGTGAACTGCGGGGAGACCACAAACACATATGGATACTACTCCCATTCCCAAATCCCCTTCTAATAGCAAAATATCATCTTGATGATTTGAGGCAGATTTGCTGTATTTCCAGCTTCCAGCTTCCTCTCACTCCCTGGACTGAGGGGAACAGAGTGGGGAGACAAAACACTCCTCATGGGAAGGGGAGACAGATCTCACTGTGCCTTTTAGGCAATAGGGAAAAGATACTGCAGGGCTCCAGACAGAATGAGAGCTAATCCTCCTCAGCCAAATTTATGCAGGAGGGAAGACTGAGAGCCAGGAAAAGCAGTGAGAGATGAAAGGAATAAAACTTGTGGCTCTGCAAGCCCGATGCAGCACAAATTCCATGGGGGAAGTACAAATCATACCCAAGACAATACTTTTCACATCAACGAGAGGTAAAAAACCCAAGGTCATCTCAAGAATAACCTGTTAAGTAAAGTCACAGTGAAGTAATTGCTTGCCACAGAGCTGATTTGCAGCTCTAGCCCCAACCTCTGCATATACAAGGGAGCTTCAGATGATGAAAGAGCTGCAAGAGATGTTGGATTTAACAGGAGCACCAGCAGCCACTTCAGGGAGGTCGACTCCCAGAAACACAGCCCCGCTTTGCTCCTGAAGACCTCACACTGAGTAGCAAGGCAACGGGAAAGATTCCTTAAAAAAAAAAAATGTACAGCATTTCAATAGCATCTTTCTATTGAAAATACACAATATGATCTGCCTCATGCCCTTTGCTGCCTTCACAGCTGATGAAGAATTGCTAGTGAGGAAGATAACGATAAGACAGCACGATCGGTCGACTAGATCCTGGATTTCTGGGGAATGGATGTGCCTACAGGTGATGTGTATCTGCTGGCACTCTGGCCTATCAGTGTTTCACCCCCCTGACGAAAGGGAAGCTACACTGCTTGAGGACCAAAGACAGAATCTGTGTACTATAAATAAAGCATTCAAGAGAAATCACAGAGCAGATCTGCCTGGCCAGCCAAACTGCTGGAATCGACAGGGACACAAATAAATAGGTCAGTGGGTATTTCATACTTGACTGCTCTCTGCATGAAGCTGTGTAGCTGAGACCGAAAACCTAAGACACAGCCACGATGTCTCAAATAAAAGCATTTTTTAAGTCCTCTTTTTAAGATTTTGTGTGGTAACAAATCCCTGGCAAAGCAGAGGGACAGAAGAAGAAAGGCTTCAATAAATCACTGTGTTCTACAAACACCTCAGTAGAGGGAAGTGGATGGGGAAGATCAAAAACACCTGCCTCGCAACTGCACACGGGTGCAGATCCTTGATTTCACTCCCACCTCAGGTTAAGTCATCCCAAATGAGAGCACTGGTGCAGTTTAGCTTTAAGCACCACCTGAACATGGTCCTCAGAGGCCGATTTCATATGGCAACTACAGGTGCTTCCAGAAGCTGCCAGAGACACCCCACACCTGCTGATGAGCTACTGCTGGTTGAAGAAATATCCCTCTCCCTTTGAGGAGCAACAAAGGTGAATCCCACCTCAATATCTGCTGTGTTTTGAAGGAAAGCAAATGTCAGGAGAGCTCCAGCTTCTGTGCTGCCCGTGGTCTCGAAGGGAGAGCGAAGGAGCTGGCTGAGGACAGCACAAGTGAAGGGCAGCTGCAGCCAGAGAAACAGAAGGAAAAAGGAAACCCTGAGGCTTAGCCCTGTTCCTGGGGAGCTATTCAGGAAGGAGGTGGTTTGGCCCACCAGAAAATTCACATGGTCACAGCAGGACACGGGAAAACAAGGAGCTGTTCCACACCACTGCGACAACTGCACAACCCAGCTCAGGAGAAGGTCACAAAGGAGGACAGGCATGACTCAAGTTGAGGGCAGCACAAAAGGAGTGTGTCTGCAAAGCAGCAGAGGTGGGAGGTCTGGTTTTGCCATGACATTCCCATCAGCCATGGCCTACATCTTCATTTCGCATGGGGCACGCAGGGATATTGCTGTTCCGAAGGCACACGCTGGGATGCTCGGACACATTTGGCAAACCCTGCACTATCTCACCCTCAGCAAGGGAAAGGACCCTCAAAGACCCTCCAAATAATGCTGCAGAGAACTGACAGTGGCAGAGAAACTGCTTGTTGAGACCTGCTGTTGAGCCCCTGTGTTCTGGAATGTCACTGCTCTGCCTCAGGAATCACTACATCCCGTAAATACAACAGTCCTAATTCCCCATTCTTTGCACCCGGGGCAGACACTCAGTGAAAAGTTAAGGTGTGAGGACTCAATGCTCAGAGTTACAGTGAAAAAGCCCAGGCAAGGACGAGAGGATGGGGCCTGTGAGGAGCTGCTGTTAAGTAGTGAATGGGGGCATCTTGTGGCCGACTATAAAAATGTACACGACTACCTCAATTTTTTCAGCACAAAAGCCTAACTGGGAAAACTTCCATTGAAGTTAAAAGGGGAAAATGTCCTGAAAATGTTTAATTTTAACTGCCTTTGGGGGTTTAGCCCACATTCTTACGTGAGGTTGCTTTTATCAGTCCTCTCAGAGGGATTTGCAATAAGCTGTTTTTGAAGCTTTCTTGTTCCCGCTATTCCACTTGCTATGAATATCCCACTCCCAAAGCCAGCCTAGCTTCCAGCTTTCCCTTTCCCCATTACATGTTCCCATTAGCTAAACATTTTTGCTAGGTCACTTTCAGGAAATATTACAGAATCCCAGAATCATTTAGGTTGGAAAAGACCTCTGAGATCCTTGAATCCAAATTTTGTCTGATCCCTACCTTGTCCCCCAGCCCAGAGTGCCACGTCCAGTCCTTCCTTGAACACTTCCAGAGATGGGGACTCCACCACCTCCCTGGGCAGCCCCTTCCAATGCCTAACCATCCTTTCCATGAAGAAATTCCTCCTGATATCAAACTGAACCTCCCCTAGTGTGGCTTGAGGCCATTTCCTCTTGTCCTGTCAAATAACAGGATTCGAAAAATAGGTTTTTAAGGAAAACCAGAGCAGCATCCTGAAATGTTGCAGCAGGCTGTACCTCCCTGACCCTTTGCCTGCAGACATGACTCAGCTTGGTCCTGAGCCCAAGCAAACTGTCTTTCCCTGTGGGTCCTTCACTCGGGCTCAGCATCATGTTAATGCCATCACAGCATCCTGGGTTAGCTCCAGTTTGCACCTGGACTCATCCCAGAAGCCCCTACACCAGGTGACTGCAGCAGTTGGACATGTCCTGGGAGAAAGCTGACTTAACACCAGTGAAGTGCATCAACAGCCCCGCACCTGCTCCAGCTTTTTATTCCAAAAAGTTTCATAGTTGTCAAGACAATTATTTTGACATTTATGAAACCTTTGGCTTGAGGGAGGAAAAAAAACCCCACAATTATTTTGACATATCCAGATGCCATTTAGTTTTGGCTGAAAGTCAGAATTTACCTCAGCTCAGAATAGTTTTAATTAGCTAGAAACAACTTCATTTTGGCCATTCCATTAATTTTTCCTGCTTTTTAAATTATTCCAAAAAAACTGAAGCAAGGAGGTGTAACCAGTGTCCTCTTCTGTTTTCAGGTACAGGGGGACATTTAGAAGCTGGGCAAGTACAAATTGACTAAGCAGGCAGGTAAGAGGAGCTTTCCAGTTATCCCACTGCAATTCCCAACACTGATGCCTTACGTGCTAATGGCTAGCAACCACTGAGGAGGCAGTCCTGCTCTTCCTCAACCATTTCTTTTATCCAGCCTTTCCCTCAGGTCCTGTCCCTGGTCACAGAGAGCAGAGATTGGAGCTGCCGCTCACGAGGAAGCTGAAGATCCCACTGAGCTCTGACCCCAGGCTCTTCTTCTCCAGCTGAACATTCCAAGTGTCCTCTGCTGCTCCTCGTGTGGCCCTTCCAGACCCTTCACCATCCTCATGTCCCTGCTCTGGACACTCTCCAATAGCATTTGATCTTTCTCACACTGTGGTTCCCAAAACTGCACACAGAATGCTTATACCCTCTTCCTTTCCTTGCCGTGGGCAATTTGCCATTTGCCTTCCTGTGGGCAAATCCAGAGGTAAAGGCACCTCCTGAGCTGCCCAGAAGTGAGCCATTAGTTCTCTGTGGGCACAGCTGGAGGACGTGACACGCATTTGGTGACGGCAGATGTGTCACCACCTGACCACGAACACAGCCATCCTTCATTGGTACCACTGCTGACACCTTACAGCTTCCAGAGCCCCCCTGCATTATCTGCCCAGTGCACTCAGAGTGCAGTTCCCCTCCCTCCCACCATGGAATTCACACACAGGGATCAACGGGGCTACACCAGCACGTAGCAAATGCAAATCCTCCTCCCGGTGATTTCCACACTGAGCCCAGTACCTTGGCTGCCCCCAGCAAACACCAGGGTGCTGTCACCCAGCTCAGGGGGGTTCTCCAGGCGACGTGGGGGCGGCTGCAGCAGCTTCTGCCCTTCCTCTATCTCGGGGTGGGTGCGCACGGTGAGACACAGCGCAGGCTGCACCAGGGCGTCCTTCAGCAGGGCCGAGTCCAGCTCCTCAGCAGCTCTCTTGTTGATCTCCACAATTTCATCACCAGCTTTCAGGCCTGTGACAGAGAGGAACAGGTAAGACTCGCACGGCAATGCTCCCCACAGACATCAAGGAGCTCAGCCGGGTGCGTGTGAAGTGCCAGTGCCTGTCTAGACAAAAAGTAATAATTTATGACTGCAAATGTAGTAGAATTTGATGGACTTCTGTGAGATCTGTTGTCTGATCCCTCCCGTAGGAAGTCCCTCACAATGTACCAGCAACAAGACCCCCTTTGTCTTCACTCTGCAAGGGAACAGCTGCTGTGCCACACACCTCCCTACACCACACATCACTCCTAAATGAAGAGATACAGAAGGACAGTCAGACTTGTGAGGTACTGCACACAGGATGGGGGAAGGTTGGAGCAGCTGGGCTGGCTTGATTCTTGCTTTTAACTTTATATATAAGCTTTTATTTGAAGTGATCACTGAGGAGAAGGGAAAACATGTCCTGCTCTGCCAAGGTGTAGGACTTTGCACCTCCAGGCCTACCAGTCCTACCAGGGTGTCCCCCCGGCCCTTCTTGAATCCCATCCCAGCACATGGATCTTCAAAAGGCAAGTCTGAGCTCTTGGTAAGTTAGTCATGGTTTTTTCCAGCCTGATTTCAGGAGTTATTTATAGCAGCGGCGGCACCCAAGGGAAAGGGGGATCTGCTGAGGAAACAGCTGACTCCTGCACATCCAGGGGCAAGGCAGCGATGCTGATGGACAATGTGCAGCCCTCTGAGGGGACACGGGAAACCTGACCTTCCCCACGGCCACCTGGGCCCACTCTCTGACCAAACACGCTGCACCAGGGTTTAATCCCAAATAAACTTTAGGGTCAGGCAGGCAGCAGCAAGACAGGGTGCACGAGTGCTGACAGCCCTGGATGTTGGATCATCCTGGTCACCATCCTGGCATTTACAGGGATGAGAGCTGGAATTCACAGGGTCCAAGGTGAGCTGCCCTTGTGCCACCCAGTCCTCTGGCAGGACAGCCATGCAAAGGATGAGTCTGGCCACCTTTAAAGCCTGGATGAAAGGCCAGACTCAATGAGCCTGTGCTGTGAGCAGAAGCCTCAGCTGCATCCTCCAGGAAACACGGTACCTACCCACATTCATGGAAAAATGTGGAAGGGAGGAGGCTAAAGAGCTTCAGCCTTCTCTAGGAAAATGGAGACCTTTCTAAATAGGTGTAATTGTGCCCAGAAACTGTAGTGTGGAGTGTGGTTTTGGAGAGAATACAGTGAACTAGACAGAATAGCTACAAAGTAAATGGACTGTAAAATCATATTTGAAAGAAGGACCAAACAAGGCAAGTCAAGCATTTCGCATTATTTCATTTATTCTACTTAGTGATTCTGTGGTACAATAGTAGCACACTAATAGGTCTGCAACCATAAATATTGTATCTGGGGCTTCATTTACCCTCTGTAAACCTTGTTTTGAATTATCTGGGATAAGCATCATGTCTGTCTCAGTACAGTTGAGGACCTCAAACTCCAACAACAGAATGTCTCGCTAACACAGACTAACAGTAGAAATAAAAAGATAAATCATAAAAATTACCAGGAGAAAGTAAAGTTTTCTAATTGGAGAAAAGATTGGGAATGAAATGCTGTATCTCATCTGGTGAGACTTACTGTAGGAAGTGCAGTCAAATATAGACATGCATGTAAATAATGGGAGGCAGAGGGAGTTTCCCCCCCTGCTTTCAGTGAACTCGGGGTATCTTGTCACAATATCCTGCCACATGCTGTTCATACAGAAGTGGCTTTTCAGATCAATTCTGAAGAGCAACATAATCCTGAGTTTTCATCAGATGTTTTAGCGCTCCAGCCCCACAGGAGGCAGTCTGTGTTCACACATCCATTCAAACTGTTCTTCAAACAGTAACTAAAAGCAGAACAGGGAAGCCCTACTGAAACCCCCTCCACCCTCACCCTCACATTTGTTTTGCTCCCCACAGGAAGCCCCCAGGGTTTCATTTCCCTGTGGCAGGCTGGCAGAGAGCCCCTCAACCCCCTGCTCAGGGCTTTTGGCAGGATATTCATCCTGTTAGCCAGGGAATTGTACAAGGCCAACCCAGGGTGATGAGGGACAGGAAAGAGAAAGATGGTCTTGTCAAGCTTAACAAACACACACAGCAGCCTCCAGAACCACCTATGTGGTTTTCTGAAGTTGGGGTTAGAGGCCACAGCTGGGTGAAACTCCAGGCTGTTCCCCATCCCCTGACCACAGCTTCTTCCTTCCCCATTTCTGCAGTCCCTGTACTGTGCCACTTCTGCCCCTCGCTCCCTGCCACACAAACCAGCTCCACCTGCCAGGGGGTCACAAAAACTGCCACAGCAGTTTTCTACCAAGCCGGGGAGCTGAGCTGGCTCAGAGTGCCAGAGTCAGCACAAGGCCAAGGGATGGAGCAGACCAGCTTTTGGAACAGCTTTTGGCAACAGCCAACTGCTGAATAAGCACTGTGAGACCATATAACCTCTCGCCAAGAAAACCCTGAAGGTGTTTCTGAGGACTCTGCCTCTTCTCACTCCTCATTCTGCCCATGTTCTACTTCAAAATCTGGTTACTTTTCAGCTGCCCGGCTCCCTGAGCAGCCCAGCCCATGCAGCAGCACTGGCACATCGGGAATGGCAATGAATGGGAAAAGCAGTGAGGGTATGGCAGTGTCAGGGCTGGCCTCAGCTTGGATAAAATGCAGTTAAACCATATCCTGCTCTGCCCCAGGATGAGCTGGCAGCCTAGTTGTCCCTGCTGGCTTCTGGTCCAAGCGCAGCCATGCTTACTGCAAAGGCTGGAAGCAGAACCAGAGGCAGCAATCCCAATCACTGGGAGCACTGTGATGCTTCTACTGTATTTGTTCATGCTGCAGTGACTCACTTGAGAGGGCCTCTGCTCCTCTTTCTGGCTGGAAGGGACACGCTGACCATGCTACACACACAGCAACTCCAAACTGAGAGGGTGACCGTGCAGCACAGCTGATCCCAAGAGCAGGACAGCCCTGTATCCAGCACCAAAGGTTCTTCCCAGAAGTCCCTATTTGCTTTTGGACTGAGACCCTTGTAAAGTTCCCATTCCTACAAGCTCATGGTCAATACCAGGATTAAACCACTTTGGAAAGTGTTTTACCTTTTTTGAAAGCTAGGCCTGTCTCCTTGACGCCGTTCACATAAAGCCGACGAATCCCTTCTTCTTCCACGGAGGACAGAGAGAAACCTGGGGAGATACCCAGAGAGCTGGTCAGAAAAAGTCTGTCCTAACAACCACAGACACTACAGCACAGGCTGTGCTTCCCTGCAGCGAGCAGTCGGGAATCCCTCCCTTCCCCTTTCCCTTAAACCTTTGCAGACATTACGGGAAAGTCAAACAATGAAAGCGGCTTGAACAAAAAACCTGAACTGAATTTCTGAGTTTATATATAAATCAACTACAGCCTCATTTGAGGATACCACAGCTGCAAAACATTGGAACAGACTTCCAATTCTGTCGCCACAAAAGGTCTCTTCAGGAAGTTTTGGTGTCTGCAGACAAAAGCTGCACAGAGCTGTGGTTTGGGACACACACCGACAGCAGCTGGGAATGGGAGAGCTCTGGCTGATGTGCCACCCTGAACTCAGACAAGGCACACCACCTCCTGCTAAAGCACAGGGCTGACTTCTACTTTTTCAGATTCCTGGGCTGGACAAGTTGGTAAAAATGCTACTTTCTCTTTTACCCTTTATTTTCAGCTGCTTATGGCACAAGCTGTTTTTTGCCAAGTCTCAGCTCAGTGCACGTTTTGTGCTACACAAGAGACCCAGAGAACAGCCTTATAGTGGAAGTACTGACACAGCCTGAATTTAAACAGAGCAAATGGTACTGTTACATTCTGTTTGGGTGACTTTCCTGCCATTTGTGTGTGACACTGTAAGATAACAATGTGTAAAGGAAATACAAGGAGCCTGGTTAAATGTGGGTTGTTTATTTACTGTTCAGAGTTATCTAAAGCAGAACACTTGCCTTTCTGAAACTTCATTGCTCCCTGAATGAGTGCAGGCAACCATTTGCTCTCTGTTGTTCTGACTAGAAAAACATTTACAAACCTCTGGGGGGAGTCCCTTGTCTGACATGGAATCAGCCACCAGCCAAGAGGTGCAGATGTACTGGGAGCCTATTCTGACCTTAGGATTCCCTTCAAGTTGATTCTTATGGCTAAGAGAGTTATTTTTTTATCCATGATTTAAAAAAAAAAAAAGGGAAGAAGAAAAGAGGGGGAAGAACATGGCAGCCTAGAAGTGAGAAGCATATGGCCTTCCATGACTTACTGAGCTACTTGGAACCTACATGTGAGCTCCTCGGGCTGAATCAAATGAAATTTGTGAAGCTCACTCAGCACTCCCGCTTTGGCAGAGAGAAAACCCCTCAACTAAAAGAGCAGCTGTAAAATATAGTGGTTACTGGCTGTCATCACCACAAAGCCTACCTGGAAAATCCTTATCCAGAAGCATAGCAGAGCATGCCCAAGACAGCAGTTTGAGTCAGCTCAAGTGATCAGTTCCCAATACCACCACCCTTCTGCCACTGAAATGCTGGTGTGGAGCCAAACACCACACAGTTAAAACCAGGTTGAGCTGCAGCTCACTGGGGCTTAACTGTGAGGAGACCAGAATGCCCAAGCAGTCCCAAGCTCCACCTCTCCTATGGGGAAAGGCTGAGGGAGTTGGGATTGTTCAGCCTGGAGAAAGAGAAGGTGACCTAATTGCAGCCTTCAAGGACCTGAAGGGAGTCCACAAGAAAGATGGAAAGAGACTATTTCCAAGGGCCTGGAGAGACAGGACAAGGGGGAATGGCTTCAAACTGACAGACAGCAGGGTTAGATGGGATATTAGGAAGAAATTCTTCCCTCTGAGGGTGGTGAGGCCCTGGCACAGGTTGCCCAGAGAAGCTGTGGCTGCCCCATCCCTGGAATGTTCGAGGCCAGGTTGGACGGGGCTTGGAGCAACCTGGGATAGTGGAAGGTGCCCCTGCCCTTGGTAGGGGGTGGGACTGGATAAGCTGTAAAGGACCCTTCCAACCCAAACCATTCTGTGATTCTATGATTCCTCTGTGATCAGACCTCTGCCTCCTTCAATCCATCAGGTTTAAATGCACATGTAGTTGCTTCTTAATTCATCTCCCAGTCCTACCCATAAATCCTGAGCAGTTATTCCTGGCAGAAAGGGTGTAAGGAACAATTAAACATGTTGTGCTCAGCTTTAAGGGATGAGAGATGGGCAAGGATAAACTGTTTTATTTCCACAGCTGTGGCAGTGGCTGGGTCTCAAACACAATTTGCAGCAGCAGCACGTCTGTCTCACAGCAGTGCCAGTGCTTTTGCTGCCACCCAGATGAGAAACACCTCAGCCAAGTGTGTGTGTGTGTGTGTGTGTGTGTGTGTGTGCAGTTTGTATATACACATGTATAGTAGGAATGCAGAGTTTCCATCTGGCTCAATTCCACAGGGGCTCCACACAAACACGTGTACTGGCATCGCAGGGGAGGAAGGGCAGGAGTGGGTGGAAGCAACAGCGATTGCATAAGCTGGCATTCCTGCCAAAAACATTATTATCAAACTGTGCATGGACTCTGAAACACAGGTGGGAAGAGATGGGTGGTGACCCAGACAGAGCCTTCTCTTCACTGCAAAGTTTTGATGACAGGAGAACAAAAGTCTGCAGCTCTGAGTGCTCGTGGTCTCACTGAACCAGCACAATACCTGAACAAATCCGCCTCCAGATAATCCCCTCAGCCCCCTGTGAGAGCCAGCTGCTGATAAACATGCCAGCACCTTCCTGGGACTTAGAGGAGCTGGAAACCACTGGTTCTTACTGCTGGTGCACCCTGATTTCTGCCTGTACAGTCTTGGCAAAGAAGGGAAAAGTACCAGCAAAAGAGGCAAGAACATACATGCCCAGGCATCAGCAACAGCATCCCACTGAGAGACCCAGCACTGGCAAGGTCCAAAACACTGGCCACACACTCCAGGACACAGGCACACTGGTGGGAGTAGAAACACTACAAAACATTCCCAGGTGGGCTTGCCCTGTGATGTGGTGTTGGAACAAGACAATCTTTAAGGTCCCTTCCAACCCAAACTGTTCCAGGATTGTGTGATTTCAGCACCAGCTTGTCACTGTATGGACACACAGCACTGCTTCTACGAGAAACAGATTACAGAAATTCCTCTGCCATTTAGAGGCAAAGTAAGTTTCGCTATTTTCTTCCAATGAGAGAAAATCCAGGTTTTTAGGGTGCTTTTAGCATTCCCTCCCCCCAGGGTCAGAGCCACTGCACAGCCACGTCCCACGTCTCACAGGGCTGATCTCATTTCACAGGACATGACAGTGCATTTCACGGTCTTTCCCATTTATCACTTGGAAAAAAAAGAAGAAAAAGAAATAAACAGGAAATGCTACAACACCCCCAACACTCACAGTGCTTTCAGGCACAACATAATTATCAAACCTGGGGGCCATCCCTCCACTGGTTAATACTTTTTTCTTAGGCCTTCAATATTCAAGCCACAGTCAGAGCCACTGCTTTGTAGCAGAGCTCTCAGTGTTCAAATGGCCTGCAGCTGTATAATAAGCAGTTTGGGGACTCAGAATTATTCTAGTCATTGAAACAGAGTATTTAGATAAACAGCAGAAAGATGCAGATTGGCTTCCTGCAGGGTAGGCTGCACAGATAACTTTAAAACACACCCCAGAACTGTAATTGCCAGACCAAAGGGCAAACTCACCAGGCTGGAGGTCTGTAACCTGAAATACTTGAAAGCTAAAAGGAGTATGAACAGCCTACATAAAGATGAGAGATTTTGCTGAAATTACACAGGCAGGACTTCCCCTGCTTTATGTTTTGTGCACAGATTGGTCGGATGTGTCAGGTTCCGGCTCCAGGTGTCCACGGGACATCCTTGAGGGCTGGGGCCAGGCTCCCCCAGCCTTGGGAATGTTGGGGTGAGGCAGGAACCCACCTTGGCAGGTGGGGAAAGAGGTGGAAAGCCTGTCTTGGGACAGCCACAGACCTCGAGATGCCTCCTACCCACAGGGATGCTCCCAGCCGTGTCCTTGTCATGATGCTGGGTGGAGGGAGTGAGGGGGTGGGAAAGGTGGAAGGAGTGAAAGAGTGGAAAAGGTGAAAGGAGTGAGGGAGTGGAAAAGGTGAAAGGAGTGAGGGAGTGGAAAAAGTGGAAGGAGTGAGGGGGTGGAAAAAGTGGAAGGAGTGAGGGGGTGGGAAAGGCGGAAGGAGTGAAGGGGTGGGAAAGGTAGAAGGAGTAAGAAGGTGGGAAGGGTGGAAGGGTGGAAGGAGTGAAGGGGTGGAAAAGGCAGAAGGAGTGAGGGGGTGGAAAAGGTAAAAGGAGTAAGAAGGTGGGAAGGGGGGAAGGAGTGAGGGAATGGAAAAGGTGGAAGAAGTGAAGGGGTGGAAGAGGTGGAAGGAGTAAAGGGATGAAAAAGTGGAAGGGTGAGGAGGTGGGAAGGGTGGCAGGACCGAGGGAGTGGGAAGCCCTCCACCCTGCTGGCACTGCTCAAAGCCCCAGCGCCAAGCCCACGGCAGGGCCCCCCTGAAGGCACTCCCGTGAGAGGTGGCAGCTGGCAGAGGATGCCGTTTGCCACCTACACCTTCTGTGGGTGGTGTTTTGGAGAAACTACAAGAACAAGCAAACATTTGTCCTTTCTGCCACCATAGCTCTCATTGGAGAGCTGCACATCCTCCAGCTCCAGCACCAGGAAAAGCCGCGCTCGGCGCACCACGAATAAAACTGCCCTGCTCTGGGGCAGGTGGATGCTTTCTGTGCAGGCTCAGGAATCAGATGTGCTCTTCCTTCTGTGCTCAGCAGACCTTTCAGGTGTATCAGTGAATAGCACTGGAACTGACTTGGGAGAAAAAGAAAAACGAGCCAAGGAGAAACTCACCATAAATATCGGAGGATGCATCAGACTTCTCGATCTGAATGTGCTGTGTGATTTTCTGACAGATTTCTATCTCTTTGTACAGCTGAACAGAAGAAAAACAAAAAAACACACACAAAAGTATGTTACTGTGGGAGGACACATCAATTGAAATAGTTTGGAACAGCTTTTTGGTTTTTAATTACAGATGGAAAAAAGGCACCATGGTCATTATTTATCAAACAGTTTTTCTCCACCTGTGTGAGGTGCATCAGTAGCATCACTAAGCTTTGCTGTTAGAACACAGCTAAAGAAAGGGAAGCAGTGTTTTACTACCATCATCATAACAGCAAGGGTACATCTAATTCCCTCAGTCAGTAACATTTTGAGTGCAATTTCCCAATTTATGGGTAGTGATAATTTAATATTTTTCTATTATTTTAATGAAGACATTGCAGGAATTCAATTATGAAAGAGTATTAAACTCACAAGGAGGGATTTTGTTTCTTAAATACATTTCCTCATTGTCAGAGGACAATTTACTATGTCTTAGCATGACATTTCACCTTTAACACCTCAGTGTTTATTTGTAACCAAACAAAGCCCCCAAGTCTTTGAAATGGTCATTAACATCCTTCCTGGGAGCCCAGCACAAATTCACACTTAGGTAAGAGCCCAGAAGCCCCTCCACCCAGGTGCAGTTCCCTCTGCCTTTCAGCACTTAGGTACCAAACCACCCCTTTGTCTTCAGAAAAAACCATACCCCAGGTGAACGAGAGCCCACAGGTGAATATTAATTCTGCTTCCACACTGCTGGGAGTGTGGAAAAAAGCAATTCACAATAATTAACATCTTGAAACTAAGTGACGTCAGCGCTTGGACTGAAGTATGTAAACCGTTCCTTTAAAAAGAAGAGGAACCTAAGTTTCCCTAATAAAAATACAATTTTATTTTATTTCCTTCTTCTATCAGCACTTACACATCTGTTCAGCTGCAAAAGTCAGGTGTTACAGAACAGCTCATGGAAGTAACTCCAACTTTCTCATGAAACAAGCACACACATACAAATGTGTGTTGCTTTAATATTAGTACATTAGACATATTCCTGCAGCACTCGTCTATCAGCACTTACACAGTCCCAATGACTGATTTTGGGGTTAATTTCATTTTACCAAAACAAACAATAAGTGGTGACTATGTCAATCCTACATCCTCTCAACACAAGACAAGTCACCAAAGTCCTCCCAGGCAAGGAAAGCTAAAATCCGTCTCCTCTGAGTTTTAATTTTTCCCAACTCTATTTCACTTCCCAGTCTTAGCACTCCACTAGCACTTTCTCACACTTTTTTTGTTGCTGTTGTTTACAGTGTTAATGGAAAATCCCAGAACTTCTTTGCTAAATGAACAAAAGCCCCCATAACTAGCAAAGTTGTACTTTTTTATAAGTAAAACAGCCACCAGTGAAAAGGAGTTTAAAAAGCTTTACAGCGTGCATGTGTAAAAATCACAGAGTTAAGCATGACACTAATCCTGTTTGGTCTTTTTTTTTAATCTCTCATGGCAAAATTCCTTTGAAGTCTGCTTTTGAGATGAATGAGATGAAAACAGCCGACTGAAGCAATTAAGAAAGTATATTCTCACACATAACTCCTGAGCTTTTTAACCTCGGTGTTTATCTTCCCGTTAAGAAAAATAAAACAAAAAAAAGAACACCAAAAACCCACCAAAAGAAAAAAAAAAAAACAACAGCTTGTGTATTTTCCCCCTCTTTAAAAATCAAAGTGACTGTGACAACAAGTGCTCAGGCCTCGACACTATGTCTTTAAAACCCCCATGGACAATATGAGCAACAGGAAAAGACAACCTTGGGGGAAGTTAAGCTTAAATGTAACATTAAAGTGACTTTCACACATTACCTGTGGCTGTTCCTCCTCTCTCTCCCCCACACAGACATATAACAGCACAAACATAAACTAACACCAAGGCAAGATGAAATGTTTGCAGAGATTACTGTAGGCCAATTTGCTATGGTCTGCAAAGCACCATAATTGCAAGCTAAAAAGCATAACTCTGTGTTACACAATGCCAGATAAACACTAATTAACAGCGTCCTACCAAGTGCCATTTAATTTTGCTCAGTGGGTTGCATTACCAGTTCATAGATCTCCTCCTCTGGCTTTGGTACATAGAACTGGAGCTGGTTCTCCACGAGGAATTTGAGCCGCAGGTAGTGAGCAGAGACATCCAGTTGGTGGGTCTGCAAGAGACAGGGAACAGGCTTCAGAGGGGAAAAAAAATGCCTTAATCACCTACCCAGAGAGTGGCCTGACCCTCACAGGCACAAAACTGCCCCAGCACCACCTTCCACCACGACCTGAGTAAGACCCTGGACCTCCTCCTCTTCCTCATGAATGAGCATCCATTCATTTATTGACCAACTGAGCAGGGTGTTGAGGGCACTCTGAGCAGCCCCTGCTGACCTGGCAGTTCTGCTCCCTCCCAGGGTACTCCAGAAATAATCAGAAGCCTCAGAGTACACCTCTGAATAAAAGTGAACTGTAAAAGGATATTTCAAATCACAAGGAGGTAAATAAATGTTCTGCTAACAGAGAAAAATGTAGCAGGAAAGCTGTTTTCTCTTTGGTTTGGGTTTTTTAGTGTCTTTATAATATAGTGTGTAAGTAGGATGTGGCAGATTTCAAGCAAGGTTAATAAAAACCAGAAAATCTGCATGTCCTCTAAATTCAAACCAGCCCAGGATACACCGGCTTTATAAGGCCAAAAGAAGCCAAGAGTTGCATCCTGGATTACATCCCAGTGGAAACAGGTCACACCATTTTAATGAATTAGTTATAATTAGCTGAGGATAGAGCATTTGGTCTGGGAGATGTTAACGACCTTTTCTCAGCATGATTAATAAGCTTGATTTAAGCAGAGGTTAATGCAGTGTGTAATCAAAACACATTAGAATTATGATAAACACAAAGGATGTCATTCAGAAGTTACTTTCAAAGTTCATAAACTGTTGGCTACACCTAATGAGAAACCCCAAAGTGATTCACCCATACAGGAGGCAAATTCTCCTCACTGTCACTTCTGAAATCCCATTATTAAATGCTTTTATACATCAACCTTCCCATTTTATACCAAGAAACTGCCAACCTTTCCCAGGTTGTGCTAAAAACAATGGTTCATCTGAAAATTCATGCAAGAACTTCGTTATTGCCTGTTTATCATGTTTTTTAAAGCTTGGCCTATCCAGTTCAAGGCAAGATGATAATACACCAGCACTCAGCTGACTGATCACAGGTGATGAGTAAAGTACTCCAAGGGGCCTGTGGAAAAGATCCCAGAGTGACCCTTCAGCAAACAGAGGATGGTGAATGCTTTGGAAAGTCTAGATTAGCCCAGGAATAAAAACAGCTACCAATACTAATAATTAAAAAAAAAAAAAAAGCAGACCTAGTGCTGCACTCTACAGTGCTACATTCAAGTATTTCCTATTCAAAGATCAAATTATCCTTGTATGAAATTGAGTCTCTGAAATGGAATAACCTCCGTAATCCAGGCAAATTCCTAGTTAATTAAATAAAGAATCTGAAATCTATCAAGGGCCAAAAGAAAAACAGCTGAATGTAGGAGACCCTTACTCTCTCTCCTTTTTTCTTTTTTTTTCTTTCTGGAAAGCATTTTGAGTGCTTTGCTCATTGATTAATGCTGTTTTCACTAGTTTCCTCTCTTCCCAACACATGTACAAGCACCCCAGAAATTAAAAGGAAGCAGAATTGGCTTTAAGGGTTCAGAAATGACACAGAGGAGTCCTAGATTCTTTTCTGATCAGCTTAGATACAAACTGAGGAGCGCCTTGCACACCACTGACTGCACACCCACATCTGGGGGGAGAAGTCTCTGGTAAGCCTCTCTGAAAGTCCATGAAATGCTTCAGCCATTTACAGCAACATCAGCGGGGAAAAATGCTCTGTGGAAAAACCACAGTAGCAGAGGAAGAAGCCAGGCAACCTGGCAGCTCCTGCTGCCACCATGGGGCATCTTCTCGGGGTCTCCTGTGCCAAAGCTCTTGTACATTTGCTGCATTTCACAGAATCAGGGAATCACAGACTGGTTTGGGTTGGGAGGGACCTTAAAGATCATCTCATTCCATTCCCCTGCCGTGGGCAGGGGCACCTTCCACTATCCCAGGTTGCTCCAGGCACTGTCCAACCTGGCCTTGGACACTTCCAGGGATGGGGCAGCCACAGCTTCTCTGGGCCAGCACCTCACCACCCTCAAAGGGAAGAATTTCATCCCAATATCCCATCTATCCCTGCCCTCTGGCAGTTTGAAGCCATTCCCCCTTGTCCCTTCACTCCAGGCCCTTCTGAATAGTCTCTCTCCACCGGTTTTGTTGGCTCCCTTCAGGTCCTGGAAGGCCACAATTAGGTCACCCCAAAGCCTTCTCTTCTCCAGGCTGAACAATCCCAACTATCCCAGCCTTTCCTCCCAGCAGAGCTGCTCCATCCCTCTGATCCTCTTGGTGCCTCTCTGGACTCTCTCCAGCAGCTCCATGTCCTTGCTGTGCTGTTCCCCAGGGCTGGAGCAGCTCTGCAGGGGGGTCTCACCTGAGGGGGCAGAGGGGTAGAATCCCCCCTCCCCTGCTGCCCAGGCTGTGGGGATGAGCCCATCAGGCCAGGCTGGTCAGGCAGAGCTGTGCCAACCCCTCCATGGCACTGAGCAAAGCCCAGGGTGGGCAGAGACCCCCACCCACAGTCGGGTGTTCGCATCATGTCCAACAGTGACTCTGAATGTCCTTCCCTTGCAGAGGAGACCCAAAGGGATGCTTTCCAGCCTGCCCCAGGCTGGCAGAAATCATCACCTGCTGTAGAGGGACAGGAATTTATCCAGTCTGGAGCCTCCAGGCACTGGGCACAGGCCAGGAGCTGCCTTAGCTCAGCCACCCCAGGCAGAGCACAGCATCTGCTAGAGAGGCCACGGGATAAAACATACATATTTTGAGCCACTCATTTCTTCCAAGAAACACCATCAGCTGAGGTGGATGCCATCAATGCACTACACTGCAATCCCACCCAAGTCAGGAATGAGAACCATCACCACTAAAGCTGTGATGGTGCAGCCCATGGGCCACCCCATTTAGTTAATTGACATTCCCACAGCTGCCCCAAGGCTTTTGTCTACCTCAGAATTTGACATTAAAGTGTCTCAAATAGGGGCACGATTTTCTACTGAAGTGAAAGGAAAAGGTCCCTGTAAGTGGACACAGCCAGTCTGCCCTAAAAGCCAAACCATTAACCCACTTTTTTGTTGCTAGGAGCTGCATCCATATGTGGGAAGGTGGGAGTAGAAACAGGGCAGCTTTAATGATATGAATATCCTTTTGAGACCACCCAAAATACCTTTTAGCAGTCCAAATAAGCTGCTTGGTTTATTTATTTCTCTCCTAATAACTCTGGCTATGTCTGGACTAAATTAAGCAGCAAACCCAATTTAAAACACAACCCCACAGCTTAACCAAGGTGCTTTTGCATAAGAATTTCCAGCCAGAGGTTTGATCAGATTCAAAAGGATCAAGTGCTGTCATGGGCTGGCACACAAAGCCCAACTGCTCCCCCATTTGGGCTCCTTTCTAGTCAAAGAGAGGGACAGGAATGTTCTTTCAGCATCACAGAAACACAGCAGCCACCCCACTGTATTACTCTGGCTTCACATTCCAGCCCAAGCTTTCCAGCAGGAAAACACCAGCTCAAAATCAAAGTAAGCCCACGGAGCAGCAGGCTCAAGTAACTTCTCAGAGACTTTGAGCACAAATCCAGAGACCTTGGGGGAATCTGCTTCTTGCCCCTCACACAGGTCTACTGGAACATGTAAACTGTGAGGGGAAAAAAACCCTTTCTTGCCTCTCAATTTTTTATGCAGTCAAAGGACTAAATGCCATGTAGTCTTCTGTTCCTGATTTTTGGTGTTATCATCCCCATACTAGTTTTTGGTGTTATTATCTCCATACTGGCTCTGCCTAAATCCATACACAATGTGTGAGTTTCCACTCAATTTTAAGACATACTTTTATGCAAATGTTAGTAATACATATACACACGTTCACACTGTATTATCACAAAATCACAGGATGCTTAAGCTTGGGAGGGACCAACTATTTCCTATCATCCATAGAAAAGCAATTTAACTCACATACACTGACTTTCCCTGCCTGCCAAGTGATGCTATTAGTTAAATATTAGGAGGAATCTTTGAGATACCACTCTAAAATATGCTTTAAACACTCCTCCCACCAATCTTGAAATCATGAAAGTGTCACAAAGCATCCTCCAAAGCCTAACTCGCTGTACAATAACAAGCAGCAATGTTAGCATAAGAACACATTTTCTACAATGACTTGAGTGCACTTAATGTTCTCCAACAGAATAATCAAGCTCAGTTTAACAGCACAGATAGATTTAACCACATCCACAAACATGAAGAGGTTTATATGAAATGTAGAGCTTGAAATGTTTACTGTACCAGAACTTGACTGGTTCTCAGATGGCAGATGGCAAACTGATGTGAAATGATGTGGATCAGATATTAAAGGGGAAAAAATGAGCTGAATGCAAGAGACAGAAGAAAGAGATTGATTATTAAATGCTACAGAAAAGAAGGCATCCATCAGTGTTTTCCAGGCTGAAAACTCTTACAGAAAGGAAAGAAACAGATAACAGCTCTTCAAAAACACTCACCCACCTCCCCTTCTCCTTATACACCCCCCACCCACCACAACAAACACACAGTAAGATACCAGATCCTCAGCAGGCACCTGCTGGAAGGAGTGGAGCTACACCAGCTTACTCCAGCTGAGGATCTGCTCCCCCCGACTTAATCGTTCTTACCCAAGGGAAAACATAAATCCTAAAAATAAATCATTACTAACAATGTGTCATCCAGCTTCCCTGTTATGTCTCTCTCCAAAAATGTCATCTTTTCCTGAACACAAAGCAGAGCTTTCACAAACTCTTGAACAGCACACCTGGCAGAGAGATGAGCGCACTGTGTAATTACTGGAAACAAACGCCTTTCTCTCACCTTCCCTCTCTTTGGAAGCACATGCAACATGTTCTAAAAGCTCCCAAAGTTAAGTTCTCAATAGTAATAAATATTTTCTTTTCTTTTGCTGTTGTTGCTGTACAAAGCAGCCTCACTTTTCAGAGCAGCACGTGAGACGAGTCGGGTCTCGCTCCCAGGCAGAGCAGAAAACACACATTATGTAGCTGCCAGATCTGAAAGCCTGTATTTAATTTGTCAAAGTTTCCAACTCTTTAGAGATGTAACTCTTTTTAATGGCCAAATGTCTCTGATACTTCATCTGGCAGAGAAATCCAGGTGGTTTTTCTTTCCCCCCCCCCCCGACTCAAAAGCAGATAAAAGCCTTCCTCCTCCCGCCACCCACATGAGGCAAGTCTGACTGCAGTGCAGGCAGCAAACACAGGCCCCTTCTCCTGGTGCTGCTGCTTTCCCCAGTGCCAGCCAGAGAGGAAGGAAGGGGGAATGGCACGTGGGAACAGGCCACCCTGGCACCTGGGAAGGGGTGAGATCACCTCACTCGCCTGGCAGAGGAGGGAACGGGCCGTGGGAGCGGTGGCAGGGCTGGGGACACCAGGGTGGCCAGGTGGCTGCACTACCACGGTGTGGGGTGTCCAGCGGGCTGGGAGCCCGGGTGTTGAGGGTCCCACACACAGCTTGGTCTCCACTGGAGAGGTGGGTGGCCCCTGACAGGCAGCAGCCAGGGTGTGAAGGCACTCAGAGGCTCTTGCACAGCAGTCAGAGTGGGAAAGGCAAAACTGAGCCTGCCTGTCCCTGCACCCGGGCCAAGCTCAGCTCCAGCTGCAGGAAATTCTCTGCTGCGGTCCCAGCACGGACATTTCAGTATAATTCATGTTCTTCATCCAACACCGAACTGATCTCCCAACACAGAGCAGTGCTGAAGCTCCACAGAAAGGGCTCAGGGTCACAGGTATCTCACCCCACTCCAGGTCACACTGGCAGCCTTTACCTTGCAGATCATCTCCAGCACGTCCCTCGTGGTGTCCCCAGGACGGATGACGGTCAGGGCAGGCTGGTTGTTGGGCAGGCAGAACCACGAGGGCGTGAAGTACTCGTGAACCCAAATGTCACAGTCGGGGTTGTGCTGATGGACACTGCTCAGTGCCACTTCTTTCTCCCTCTAAATTACAGACAAAGTCCATGATGACTCTCCCAGCCAAACACAACTCCCTCTTCATCAATAACAAGTGTGAGGAGGAGCATTATGTGCTGTATCAAAGAGCCCTCTTAGAGAGAAGCTGTTTTGTTCATAAGCCCAGGTTGAAGGCTTGTCTGGACAGGAACCTGGAGTTTTCCCTGAGCAGAAGAAAGTGTGCCTTCCCATGCCACCCACACAGCTACACTGGTGCAATGTGCTTCTCCTGGGATTTCACCCTATGGCTGCTGGGAATGCTAGGAATGCAACAAAAAATAATAGGGATAAAAACATATTTAAATTGAAAACTGAAATGCACTGTGTTTCTGGGTAAACCAATCTGAGGCCAACAAAACAGTTGTAGGTACTGCAGTTCCTATACCTGGCAATGGCAAAATAGCAAATCTTAGCATTTATTTTGAATTTACTGCCTTTTATACACCTGAGTTGCACTCCAAGCTATAAATCCCCAGGAAGTGATAGGAGCTACAGAATCCTTGTTTACAGCAAGTGGGCTCATGTGGCTAAACCCAATATCCACTACATGAAGAATGTGCCTCAGCACTCTGTTAAGGTTGTTTTACAGCTGACTTTCTCTGGGGAAAGAGAAAGTAGCTGCAATTGGGGCTGCAAATGCAGGAAGTCACGGAAGCAAATGCAGAAGCTCAGGGAAGCACTCAACAGAGAAAGCCCTGTGCTTCATAGTTGTACCAACCCTTAATTATGAAAACCCCATATGGCCACCAAAAGGAGCCATCTTCCAGAGCCAGAAACATCCAGGTCCTCCTGTGGGCAGGCATTTCCCTGGCTAACAGACCTCTGGGTCTGGCACCTCCAGCTGCCCTTTTGGTCATGGGCAACCAGCTCAAACCCTCCCAGAGAAGCTCTAAGCCCTCCAGAGCACAGAGGGTCCTCTCCTCTCTCATCCCAGAGTCAATCCCTGCATGGAGACTGGCTGCAAAGGAGGCAGCTGGAGAGCTGGGGTTACCTTGCCATCCGGGACTGTGTCGTCAAAGATCCCTTCCAGGGATTTCTTTACTGAGTCGACTCCTTCACCAAACACCTGAGGGAAAAGAGTGAATGTGCTTTGAAACACAAACGTCTGCAGCACAGGCTAAGGGGAGAACAGTCTGTCTGACACCTCACAGAGAAATCAAACTGAAAAACACTCATCTCCAAACACAGCGAAGGAAAACAGCAGCTTGATAAAAGAGAAGGAGAGGTGAAAGACAAGCTGGTGATGGGGCATCGTGCTGGAAGATTAGAGCCCATTTCTGCTTAGAGGTCTGTCTCCGACTTCCTTGGTGAAGCTGGACTGATTTTATCTCCTTTTGTGCTCAGTTTCCCCACCTGTAAAGTGTGGGAATGAACACTTTCCCACTTCTGCTAAGGCTGAGAAATCAGAAGAGCTCTGCTTCTGGCTGGCTTTGTAATAACCCAGCTGCCAAAACGTACTTAGCAAACATTCAAGCACCACAAGTCAGTGTAACCCTTCTCTAATGAAATAAGAGCTGGTAACCCAGCACGAGCCACAGAGCCAAAATCAACAGGACTCCATGCAGGAGGAACGGCTGGACGGGAATATTTACGGGCTCCACCCCAAATCAGCACAGGACTCCATCAGATGGGCAAGCAGGGTTCTTACTGCAACAGAAGCTTGTAATTAAAACTGAAAAGTTAAGTTTTACAGCTCCACATCACCACTGCTTGAGGATCAAGTTGCTGGTTTGGCTGTTAACTATTCCATGGCTAAAACGAAGCAGGGCCATGCAGGATGGGAGACGGTCTCTGCCCTTCAGGGATTTACAGTTTGCTCCTTCCAATGGGCAACACTTTGCAGGATGCAAAGGAAATGTGTGCAGGCACTGCATTTAGACATTCTGCCACTTCCCCAGAACTTTACATTTTCTACAACTCTCTCAGGTATGACTTTCCTTTAACCTGGAACAGAACCCTTTCCATGCTGTGCTTAGTCAGGAGCGAGGGGGGCAGGGGTGGGGGAGGCAGCGTGAAGAATGCAATTACCCCCCTGAAAGGAAAAACAAAAGGGTGAGATCAGGGGGAAAAAAACAGGCTTGCACACACAGCATGGGCAGGATCTTAGTTCAGGACAAGGGGCTGTGTTTCATTTGGGGCAAGTAAATACAAAGCAACAGGGATGCTGCAGCATCAAAACAAGGAATTGGGAACGCACTCATGGGAATCAACTGCCGGGGCCGAGCGAAGCTCGGACAGTGGCAGCGAAGTCCTCGGGATGTAGGTTTGTTTAGAGTGACCTTCTCTTAGATGGATGGCCCTGTGGGCTCAGTTCAGCGCACACTGTGTCTCACCTAAAAAATCCACTGCGCAGGCTCGAAAGGTAATGACCTTTCCCAAATCTTCGTTTGCGAAGACTGGCCATACATACATGGGAATCATCTGCTGCATTCCAGATAAAACCCTGAGCTTCTGCTCAGCCACTAAATATTAGGTGAACTTTTAATGTCTGGCTGAAAACAAGCTCAACAATTCCGCAGCATCCATCCTCTGCTGAGCAAAACAAACACCCACTGCTGCCTTAACAAACGGCAGAAGAAATCACGGGGAACAGAACGTGTGTCTCGAGCCTCTCTCCCCACAAAAACTGAGAGAAAAGAAAGAAGAGCAGAGCCTACATTTCCTGCAATTAGATGAGGTATGGCTCTCAAAAATTGAAAGCTATAATTAGAGATGTTTGGGAAGAATAACAGGGAAGCACCTTCCTACCACACTGAAACATGTTTTCTCGAGAAAGATCTGGGCAGTGACTGGGTGGAAACATTGCAACTTCTGCTTTTTTTATAAATCTGAGGCAAAACAAGGGCTGTCCCTACTAAATGTAAAGCTTTTTGTCACTTCAGGAAGTTTTCACCCAGCTCAGCTACATTTAAAGTATTGTACAAACTTCTAGTTTTAAATTAAAAATAACCAAATAAGTCTGCATTATTATTTTCCTTTCAAAGTTGCACCTGTTTTACACATGAAGCTTTGTTGCTCCTGAGATTAGGGACAGCACCTCCAGCAAAAGCAGAGGCAGCGAAAATGCAACAACAGGAAGAATACAACCAAATCAGCTAAAGAAAGGGCAAACTCCAAACCTTTGACAGGAGCTGCTCTACACTGATCTGCAATTACAGTCCTGATTTCTGAAGAGGATGAGGAATGAGATGACTACACACCGTGAAAGATTAACCAGGCAAGGCTAAGGCTGGGTGTGGAAGTGCTTGATGCAAGTGACTCTGTGCGAGCTGCATTCTGCACACTAACAAACAGCCTTGAAAATATCAGTATCACAGGCTTCCCCACCCTTACCTGATTAATGCTTGGCCTCCCTTGCTTTTTCTTCGAGGTAGTATCCAGCCCCCAAAGAGAAGAAAACCTGCTTCTCCGTTTGCTGGCAGATCTGGACATGGCCTGTGTCCTTCTCCTCACTCCCGACTCCCCTGTGCGAGCCGCCACCTGTCAATGCCACATGCTTTTAAAATCAGAGGTTACAGCATCCTACCTCTGCCAAACAGTAGAATCTGTTTGGAAAAAAAAGGTAAATCCTATGGCAAAAGAGTGTATTTACTCCAGGCACAGTGGTGATGCTGCCAGGCCACTGCTTTCTTCTTGCAATTTAACTCATATCTCCCAACATCAAACATCAAAAACTGACATGGACAGTACACCCCCACCCCATTTTTTGGCATTTAATCTGAGATATTTTAATGCAGCCTAATCATCACAGAGCAAAGCCTCAGCACCAGTGAAGGGGTTTGGTTTTTCATTTGCGGGTTGTTTTTTTTTTTCTTTTGTTCTTTTCTTCTTTTCCTGACAAGGTTTCAAAGCTGGACACGTGAAATCTGAGATATCCAAACTTATCTGTTGCTTCCCAAAAACTCAGTCTTCCTCTCTGCTCTTTCCTGTGGAAACACTCTGGGCATCCTGGAACTGACTCATAACTGCAGCAAGGCCAGATAAAAGCTTGCAAGGAGGTCGTGGCATTTAAAAACCTGCACTTCCTTAAAAGACAGTGACATCTGAAGGAGTGAGCAAAACACGGGAAGGGACAAAATGACCCTTTCAATCAGAGCCGTGTTAACTGCTGGGGTGCTTCAAAAATGGCCAGTGGCAACCCCTTCAGAGCAAAAAGACATTTGCCTTTGCTGAGCCCAACTCTCTGAGGGGTGGTGAGGAAACTCTGGTGGGAATCAGTGTGACATTAGTCAGAGGGGAAGTGTTTGGGCCCAGCTGGAAGCAGATTTCCCACCTGGAGGTGGCCTCAGGAGTGAGAGCTCCTCTCCTGCCAAAAAGGGAGTGGTAGGGGATGGCAGGTGTGAATGTGAGGCAAGGCAAAGCCAGACAGACAGACAGACCCGCCCTGCCGACTCGGCCATAGCTTCCTGGAACACCTTGGGACTGGGTTCCCACAGCCGAAACCGGCACAATGGGACTGTCAAACATTTGGCAGCCCCAGAGGGAACACCCAAATCTCAGCGACGCCCCGAGCTACAGAGCTGAGGAACTGGTTGTTTGGGTGCGGCAGACCCAAGGCCTCATCCAAAGCTGGGAAGGACGGAAGGCTGGCTGGTGTATCCAGGGAACTGCGTGAGGAATGGTGGTTCTCCTTGGGAAACTTGGAGAAATCAAGCAAAAGAACTTAAACACTACTGCAGGTGTCTCCATTTCCACAGCCTGGACTTGTGAGATGTTCCCTAGCTGTACCTGGGACACCTGTGCACAGGCACCCGGGATAACTCAGCACATCCTCGGAGTACAGTCCTCAGGAGAGTTAGGGATGCCACACTACCACCACGCAGCACCCACTCGAGTCACAGAACCACAGACTGGTTTGCGTTGGAAGGGACCTTAAAGATCATCCAGTTCCTCTCCCTACCACGGGCAGGGATACCTTCCACTATCCCAGATTGCTCCAAGACCCATCCAACCTGGCCTTGAACACTTCGAGGGATGAGGCAGCCACAGCTTCTCTGGCAAATTCCCTTCCTGAAGTTTCAATTAGGGCTCGCAGCAGCAGAGGAGCGCGGAGTTACATTTCTCCATGTTATTGAGGGCAAAGGAGGACACAAGAGTTTGCTGAGAGGAGAAGAAAGCACGTGTCTTTTCCAGCACAACATACTCAAAACATAATTTTTTTTCCCTTGGCTCTCAAGAGACAGCAGCATGAAGAGGCAGACTGTTTTTCAGGCTAACGCTCAGTGCTTTGCTAGATGCAAAAAAAATAAGCATAAATGCTAATTACAGCCCGCCACTTAAAAAATATAATAAATCCACCAGCAATTAGCAGGATGATGACGCTAATCTTTTCATAGAGGAGAGAATAAAAACACCCCTGCCTGAATTACAGCTCTGCATTCAATTGAAGGGTACAGCTGACAGCTACAAGACAACAGTGGAGCTCAGCTATTTCTGTGAACCTCCAGGAGTCCAAGCCGAAACTGCAAGAACTTGATTTAAATTCATTAGAACCCCAGCACTTTGCAATGCATTTCCCTGTACTTTCGTGAGCTGGGTTGTTACAGCATTTAAGTTTAAGCAACCACTTGAAACATCGTTTGCCACACTGTGAGCAGGAGGGAATGACGTTCCCCCTCCTTTGTGGACCATCGGGTGTCGATCAGCGGAGACCGGATATTAGACTAATTGGTCAGTAGTTTCAGCCATATGGCACAAAGTGAGCCATGCCCAAGAAGGTCTAAGCCAACACATGCTGAGGGCCTAAGAAGGGCTCCCATTGACTTCATGGGACTTTTGGATCAAGCCCACGTACATGGACATTAACCAGAAAATCTGTTTATAGTGCAGGTCTGGACATCCAGAATCCCAACCTTAGGAGAAACATGGTTGTTCTCCACTTCCACAAGGCCATGGCCTGCAAGCATCTACTTTTTAATGGACATCTAGGAACACAGACCCCTTTCAGGGAGCAGAATATCCTGCACCCTGAGGTGAGGGCTCACCCCTCACTGCTGCTGGTTGACGTGACCTCCGCGCCGTGCAGGCTGGCAGAGGTGAGCCCTGCCCTCTGTCCACACTCACCAGTGCATGGAAGGACGAGACCGAGAAAATCCCAAGGCGGCCCATGGCGACCTTGGTGGGCCGGCTGGCGAAAGCCAGGAGCCTTTTGGGGTTGGGGAGCTCCCCTCCCTGGAGACTCGCCAGGTAACAGCGGTACCGGAACAGGTCCATCTGGAACTGCTCCAGATTCTGCTCCCAAACGAAGATCTGTGCAAGGGGAAGATTGAGAAGTGATGAGCATGAGAAGAGAAGGGGAGAGGAGGGAGAAAAGAGTGGTGAATGCCTTGAAAAAATTTATGCTTTCCCCAGTAGTACACCTTTTTTCACCACTGCTGGTCTCACCCGAGAAACCCCGATTCCTCATTTTTCCCACATCCCCCCACTCTTCCAACCCCTCAAAGGATACAAATAATAAGAGTTTTCATTAGATGGAAAACAACTTTTTCTACATTCATGGTAGAAGCCTTCTCCTGGGACAACTGCTCCTTTCATACAATGCTAATTAATAGGATTAAAATTTCATTTTTAATTTTCCTTGTATTCCAGGATTCTCTTTTCAGCAGTCCCTTAAGAGGCTTCTTTCATGCATCAAGAGCATCTGAGAAACAAGAAGACCAAACCCCACCAAACTCCATACACAGAGCATCCCAAATCAGCAGCAGCAGCATTGCTGTGAGCACCAACAGAGTGCCAAGCACTGGGGATAATTAATCTGATCAGTGGAAGAGCACTGCAATCAGCCCATGGAAGGATTTATCTAAATAATTCAAACAGCTGATAGGAAACAGTTTCAAAGCACCCAGAAAAACTCAGTTACATAAAGAGAGAGGCTGTGACTGACAGCCTTTGAGTGGAGCCCTTTCAACAGCCACGAGCATCTTCCCCCCTTTTCCCTCTCCATCCCCCCTTCTCACGGGCTTCCAGGGGATACAAAATCTCTTCAGCTTAGCCCTGGCCACTTCCCATGCTTTGCATTACAGGCACATTTGGCAGCTCTGGTAAAAGAGCTACAAATGAGTGAGGCAGGAGCCATATGTTTAGTTTCCTAAAATAAGGTGCTGCTGCGGCAGCGGGAGAGACATCTGCTCGAGGCTCCCTGCTCCTGAAATCCAGCTACGTTGTCCACTTGGAAGTCAGAAGGAGCAGGGCCCAAGGGGAAGGCAGGGCTGCAGCCACGAGGTCAAGGCAGGCCCTTGTGACCAAGGATGGCTTCTTCACCCCATGTGCCAGCCACGGAACCAGCCTCTGGCACACCTTAAACAACAGCAGCAACGTTTGTGAGCAGCTGTTCCCTAAGGAATTCTGCTGCCATGACCTTCACTCTCCGCCTGCTATCCACATCCCGTGGGTGGAGGCCAGGAGAAGACAGCCCATGCTGTACCTCAGTGCACACTGCTTGTAGAAATGGTGCAACTAAGGCAGCCAGCCCATCTCTCCTGCCAACACACCCCACCTGCTTCAGGCACAGCAGGGCAGGACAGAGCTACCACTGATCCCAGGGAGGCCTTAAACACTTGCTGGGGACTTAATTCAACGTGAGCAAGAGAGATTACTTGATCCAGGATGGTCTTCTTCTTCTTGGAGTCTGTGACAGAGGACAGCTGCATTTCACCCATTTTCTTCATCTTCTCATCCATGTCGATCTTCTGCTCCAGCTTTTTTATCTCAGTCTTGAGGAGCTTCACGGTGTCCTCCTTGTGGTGCTGCCGCGCCACCGCGGTCGCGCAGGCCGAGTGGATCGCTGTGATCCAGTTCTCCAGCTCCGTCTGGCTGCAGGTCTGAGGAGAGCAAAACAGGGGGAAAAGAAGTCAGGATCCTCTTCAAAATCGATTGGAGATTAACAAATGCAATTCCGAGGAGTTTCCTCTCCCTTTGATCTCAAGATTCAAAGCCTTAAATCCACTTATTTCTGTGGCAGTAATAAACGCCCCCTCATCCTTAAGGAGGCCATTTTTAACTCGGCACCAGGCCCTCAGCACTTGGAATTACACCTATATCTGTGCCTTGCAGCTTCCCAGCAAGGTCTCAGGAATCGCCTTCCTTGTTCAACGCCATGCTGCCATAATTTGTAGCTCGGCATTTAATGATGTTTTCTAAACTCCCAGTTCCTTAATGCAGTGAATGCACCAGCCTCTGTGTTCTTCCTAGGAACAGAGAGCTTTTCTGGCACGCAACAGTTAGTAATAAATCAATGGCATAAAATGTGACCATGATAACTATGAGCAGCTTTAATATGGTGCACAGAGTTTTCAACTTCTGAAAGTCCCAAAGCCCTCTGAGGACAACGCTGTTATCATTAAGAGCAGGCTCATCCTAATTTTTACAGCTCTGGTACTGTCCCTTCCAAGCATGCATGTGACAGCTTGGGAAAAGGGAACACTTCCCCTCCCTAGAAGTGTCCAAGGCCAGGTTGGACAGGGCTTGGAGCAACCTGGGATAGTGGAAGGTGTCCCTGCCCATGGCAGGGGGTGGGACTGGATGATCTCTAAGGTCCCTTCCAACCCAAACCATTCCATGAGATACCAGGGGCATCAGTACATATTTTTGGAAGAGGACTATTCTGATTAGAGGCTTTTGACACAGAAAGAAGAATATTTCAAAGCATTCCTTTTCCAGACCTTCCAAATAAAAACTCAATCCTTTTAGGCTTCTTACTAAACTCCATTTCTTTGTACAGTAGGTTGCAAAACAAACTCGGGGTTGCAGAGGACTCTCTCTGAGTGTCAGCCTGTAGCAATAGTCACACTGGTATTTGGCTCCTGGCTGGAAAAGTATCAAGGTGCCAAACCACCTTGTTCTAATTAAACTTCCTGATGACACCTGATCTATTAATAGAGAGCACAGCATGACTTCTCCAGTTGCTGGCATAGATGAGGAAGGTCATCCTCGCTGCGGTCACAACCAACAGCAAAGGACGAGGCTCACTGAAGCCAGGGAGAGATTCCCAGAGAAGCCTGCTCTGGAAATCACATATGCACAGGCTGGACTTCAGGCTGCTGTTCCCAAAACTTTTGGGGACTGAAGCAAGTAAGACACAAATGTCCCAGAATGGCACCACTTTCCTTAACTCAGGTTAGAAGTCCTAAGCAGCACACAGGGCCTACACAGGAATGACTGACTTCTTACTCCCAATTTCCTTGTCTTCAGTTGGCACTGGATATTGCTTAAATTTGTCAGGCTCCCTGCCCAGACAATACCATTAACAAACTCTCATTCACAGACAGGGGCTTACAATGTCTTATCCCCATCACTGGGCCCTCCTTGATGAGCAATTTCTGCTGGAAATAGAGGAATTATTTGCAGAATGGGAGGCACCTTGCCTACAGCCAGTTGGTGAAACATCATCCCCAGCAGAGAAGAGAGCAGCACTGGACGTACAGTGAGACGGTTTTATTAATTCCTAACAAAATTCTAACAGGAAGGGGTCGTATTTTTTAGCTTAATGAATTTCAAAATATTATCTGTATACCATTAGATTCAGTTTTCTTTTTGGTTTCCTGGGGAGGGAGGGGAAAAAAGGAATCTGGAGTGGATTTTAGGAGCTGAAGACTCTTCTGGCAGATCAGCAGGCAAGAGGAATCACTGCCCTTCCCAACGGAAAGGACCACACAAACAAGCTGCAAACACCTGACACATAAATACGTGGTATCACAAGTTGCTCTGAGCTCCTGGAAAATTCATGTGACATCTGCAAGTACTGGATCTGTGTAGGCACAATCAGAAGTGACTGAGCAAGGCATGGTTGTGTAGGAGGAATGTGATGTCTCTAGGTGCAATGCAGTGGGAAGGCTTGTTACAAGATGTCCAATATCTGTGGGCATCACAAAGCAACTCTGTTTTTCTCCCTGTGTACACATTCTCCACAGGACAGAAATAGTCTTCTGCAGGTCAAACCCCCTACTACAGCACTGTGCTGTGTGTGGGTGGTGTGTGGGACATGAGAAGGAAGTACCACTGCTGTGAGGGCAGCAGGGCCAGCACATCCCTCACGCCACTCCCACCGCTGCAGCTGATCCCCTTCCCTGCGCCCCAACTCATCCCTTCCTTCCCTTCTGCTTCACTAGCCATGTATGGCTTCCATGGCAGAAGGGATACATCGTGAAACATTTCTGCAAGGCAATATAAATGACTGGGTTTCATTTGAAAAGGCTGGTTTTTGCTTTTTCCCAACATGAAAACCTACCCATGGCATGACAACACGGGGCTTTTAATGGGTAAGGCCCCACGTGCCTCAAGCTGTGACCTTTTCAGTACTTCACATCCACTGGCATTAATCCTATGAGAATGAAGGGTTTTCCTTAGAAAACTGCATGGAAAAGATCCTGGGCTGATCCCACAGCCTGGGCAGCAGGGAAGGGGGGGATTCTGCCCCTTTGCCCCCTCAGGTGAGACCCCCCTGCGGAGCTGCCTCCAGCCCTGGGGAACAGCACAGCAAGGACATGGAGCTGCTGGAGAGAGTCCAGGGGAGGCACCAAGGGGATCAGAGGGATGGAGCAGCTGTGCTGGGAGGGAAGGCTGAGAGACTGGGATTGTTCAGCCTGGAGAAGAGAAGCTTTGGGGTGACCTAATTGTGGCCTTCCAGGACCTGCAAGGAGTCTTCAGGAAAGATGGAGAGAGACTTCTTACAAGGGGCTGGAGTGAAGGGACAAGGGGGAATGGCTTCAAACTGACAGAGCATAGGTTTAGATTGGATATTAGGAAGAAATCCTTCCCTCTGAGGGTGGAGAGGCACTGGCACAGGTTGCCCAGAGAAGCTGTGGCTGCCCCATCCCTCGAAGTGTCCAAGGCTGGGTTGGACAGTGCTTGGAGCAAGTTGGGACAGTGGAAGGTGTCCCTGCCCATGGCAGGGGGAGGAACTGGATGATCTTTAAGGTCCCTTCCATCCCAAACCATTCTGTGAATCCATGACTCCAAATCAGTAGATCATCACCTTGAGGAAGCTCTCCAGGTGGCAAAATACATGTCCCCTTCCCAGGAAGGAACCATGTGGCAGGGCAGTACTACACTAGAAGCTGAGGAAAAATCCCACTGAGGTGGCAGAGAAGCTGGTCTGCAAAAACATGATTTTTTTTTCAGCATGCCCTCAGATACTCAGTCTCTTCAAGATGTAAGCCAGCACCACTCCATTTGGGTCAGAAGGGCTTTTTAGTTTTGCACCAGTTTGAGAACGCAGCCCTTTGTTTATGTGAGCTGCAAGGACCTACAGGACAGTGCAATTATATTTTTTGCTCTGGGGAGTGATGCCATGGGGGCACATCCTACCACAGAGAAGCTTCTTCATCAGAGACAGAACAAGAGAACAACTTTGTAAGCCCCTTGAACCAGACCCACCTGGAAGAGGAAAGCATCTCCAAGGGAGTTGCTGAGACAGAAGACGAAGTCCTTCTTGGGGTGCTCAGGCACAGCCTGCACGATGCTGTTCTCCACCCAGACAGCGTGTTTTGGGATGCTGTTGTGGTCAATGCCAGACCTGCCATCAGTCTCATAGAAGAACAACGTGCACCCTGCAAGAGACCATCCAGTGTTAGCAAGTAAGACGTTTAAATGCCACCCTGCATCTATTCAGCGCTGAGACTCAGGACTGTAAATAAACTGGCACAGGGAAGATTTGCCAGGGCCTGTCCAGGTTTTCAGCCTCACAGTGGAGAGCACCAGCAACTGCCCAGTTTTCAGCCCCACAAGGTGGGGTTTCCATGACACAGGGACACCAAGCCCTGACCCAGCAGGTCATTTTGCTCTCCCTAGGATTGCCAAAACAGAGCTGAGAAAGTCATGGGCAGTAAAATACAGCCCCAGACAAGAAACTTCATAACAAATCCCAAAGTGGGGGTCATCCACTGCCACCCCGTGTCTCCTGAGGGTGACAGCCAGCTGTGAGCCAGCCCTGGGAGCAGACAGGCCTCCAGGCACAGCCCAGCCTCAGCCTCTGCAGCTGCAGCTACAGTCCCTGCAAGGCAAAGATCAAGCGATTTAATTACTGGATGCAGACAGTAACTGGAATTAAAATGGGCTGGAATGAGCTGTCCTCACTGACTGACAGACAAAAAGCTCAAAGAGGAACACATGTTAGCTGGGGACAGCAACCAACCTGCTTGGTGTTCCAAAATAATCTTTACGATCCTCTCAGGGAAGGAAAAAAAAAAAGTATACAGCAAGCCTAAAATTTGGGATATTCCAGAAAAAAAAAAAAGAAGAAGAAGAAGAAAAAGGGTCTCCTCTCCAACCTTCCCACATTATCTCCAGTTGGTTTTATGCTGGTACACACTTTCTGTGCCACTGGAATCAGCCGTCTCAGTGCAAAGGGATGGCCGGGTACCCAGCCTCTCAGAGAAGTATTTGCAGCCAAACAATGGCAGCTGTTCACTTCAAAGCCTGGGTTAAACACTGGCAGTATTAAGGCACAGCAATCCAAGGCGCTAACACTCCACTTGAGTCAAAGCACTTCAAAACAACATCTACTCCCTGCTCATCCTTCCCCTTTTTCCTCCCAGATGGCCCTTTGTTTGCCTGCTCCTCACAGCAAGATCTTCCTGCCACAGGGCCCCCCTCCCAGGGGATTAGGGCTGTCCCCTGCCCCTCACCTCCCCTTCTCCTCTTCCATTTCCCCATCCCTCTAACCACCCCAAGGAAAAGCTGGCTCTTAACTTTGCTGTTGCTTTTAAAATAGCGCTGCAAATTAAAAACAAACAAGTGCTCTAAGTGTGGGGAGGATGGGGTTTAACCATGCTGAGCTTTCTGGGTGATCCCACCAACAGCAGGAAACACGGCTCTGCCTCCCCTGTCTCGAGTTGTGGTGGAAGAGAGCGAGGCCAGTCCCCAAACTGGTTTCCTGCTGATGAACCACATGAAGATTAATTAGAGGTCACACCAGGAGGTCAGCTCCTGAGCTCCACTGCTCCATTAACACCTCTGTGCCTTGCAGGAACTGCAGAAATTCTGGGAGAAAAGGGTCTGTGTCCCAGGCAGCTGAGGAGGGATGCTCAGGATGGGTGACACAGCCAGAGCAAACGTCCACCAAGCCACACTCCAGCCTCAGTGACCAAACCATGGCTTTTTGTCTATTCTGTGAAGCCCAAGAGGTGCAAGAGGAATGCACGCCACGGCAGAGCCCCTGTCTGAACACAGGCCACTGGCACCACCAACAAACTCCCACCATCACATGCCCAAAGCTGCACACAGATATTCAGTTTGTCAGCAAGCCATGGACAAACCTCCTAAAGGAAACACTCAGGGAAGCCACCTTGGGTGGTGCCAGCAGGGCATGAACCCCAGTGCTGTGCAGCACAGCCACGTGCCTCGGGCTGCACACACAGCACAGGTGGGAGCACATCCACAGCCATCAAACACAGCCTCCTCTGCAAGGCAGCGGGACCATTCCTCAGACTTTATGTTAACTCCCCTGAAGCTCACAGCAGCTTTTGTAAGGCCACTGGTTTCACCATCGGTAGCGATTCCCAACCCACAGGACGCCTTCCCTGTACCTTTCAGGGAAACCCAGTAGTGCTTCCACTTCCTGCGCGTGGCCGACTCCACTTTCTTATTCTTCTTGTGCACCAGGAAGTTCTTCACGGCCAGGGCTCCCGCTTTCCTCACGGTGCCCTGGGCGGCCGTGAGCAGGATGTCGGACTGGCCGGGGGAGCTGAGGGTGCCGCTGCTCTGCTCGTCGCTGAGGGCAGAGCCGGCCTCCTCCAGCTCCCCGCTGTTGGCCGTGCTCATCTCCAGCTCCCGGCGGAAGTTCTCGTACACGCCCTGGCGGAGCCCATCGCCCGTGGAGCTGCTCCCGCTGTCGCTGCCGATGAAGGCCCGGCTGGCTGTCGGGGAGTAGCTGGAGGTGGTGGCATTGGAGCGCCGGGACAGCAGGTCGGTGTCGGTGGCCGCTCCCTCGATGCCGCTGTCGGTGAACTCGCTCCCCTCGCCGGCGTTGACGTCCTGTTTGCAGGAGAGACACAGGGTGAGACAAACCCCTTCTGGAGACACCAACCGAACCCCAGACTGAGGTGGCACCACAGCTCTTCACACCCCCGTTCTGTCTGGCACTGGAAATCCCTCATCTCCTTCTGGAGACAAACCACTGGAAGAAAAGGTGGGGTAGGCAGAGCTTTCAGTTTAGGACAGACCAGTCACACATGCACGATTCCAGGTGGTGCCTCTGCAGCCTTAGCAATTTGGAACATAAGATGCAGCATCATCTGTTTACATCAAGCCAAGTTAACAGTGCTAAAGGTTTTGCAAAAGAAGAACATATGGCAGCAAAAACTGGCAGTGTCGAGAAAAGCAGCGACCAGCCTACGCATTTTGAGAAGAAAACATTGATATTGTGCACTCACACCTACAGCTGAAGACACATTTTAGACATCCCAGGACTGCCCTCTGCAAGTTACGTAACTAAAAAGGCACTTTTTTTTTTTTATCCTGACAGGTTAATGTAATTTAGAGATTATTTCTGTTTTGCATCACTTGTACATCACAAACCCTAACGGTGGGCCATGTGATATCCCCTGCCAAACCCCCTGGTGACAGACCCGAGCCTTCCTGGTCCCCAAGAACATGCAGTTTAAGGATCAAAAGAGAAAGAATACAGTCAGTTTGAGCAAGACAGGAAAATACACAACTGAATTGAGGTTTTGAAGGCTCAGTGACTCAGCCTGACCCCTGCTACAAGGCTACAGCCCCAAGTGGGATCACCACCAGCATCTCAGTATCTACAGACACCTGGGGCAAATTTTGAAGGAGAACAAATAAAGGCCAAGCCCTGTAAGTGCAAAGAAACAAGTCAGGTACTCAGGAGAAGAGAGAGCCAGGGAAGAAGACGCAAAGAGGTGAGAAATAAGGCCAAAACAACAGGGATTTCAGCCTCTATCTCTCCTGCAAGCTGGTGCTTGATTTATAAGTTAAAAAAGAGGAGTCTCTGAGAAGAGGTAGCAGAATGAAGTATTTATTTTGAGAGAAAACAAGCTTCCAGATGTTGGTTCAAGCACCAGTTTTCTATGTATCCGAGAGCAGCCCTGTGGAAACAAACCCTCCACCAGCTCTGTTTGAAACCATCCTCCTGTGGAGTAAGAGCTGGATGAGGAAACCTTAGGGGAGAGGAGAGGATGACCAACTTTTAAGGCATTAATTTGTAATGGATGAGCCCGTTCTTCCTAAGAGCCACCTCTCAAGGGAGACTTGGAGTCCAGCTGGAAGAATAAGCACTTCCTTCCCTGCTCAGTGAGCACAGCTATCCAAGTCCAAGCAGCCTGGTCTAGTGGAAGGTGTCCCTGTCCATGGCAAGGGGTTGGAATGAGATGAGCTTTAAGGTCCCTTCCACCCCAAACCATTCTGTGATTCTATGCCATACAAAAAGTAAAGAGTTAATTCTACAATCTCAGCTGATGTTACTTTTAGGAAGCATATCTCATGCTTTAATTAAAATTAGTTGATTTAAGAAAACAAAGAGCTACTAAAACAGATGACCAACCTGAGGGAGATAACGATTTGTGATCTTGTCAGCCAGTGCATGCATGAAACTTTCTTGGTGCTTTTTAGCAGAGAGAGTATTTTTCCAAAAACTGAAGTTCCCTCAGAGCTATTTAGGCCCAGTTCTGCAATGCAGGCTCCCAGTGTGCCACAGCCTTCCCATGTAACCTTGATGAGACACTGCATTAGTTGCCTCAGTTTCCCTGTCCACAAAGGGGGATTACACTCTGTAACTAATATATGGCCATAACAGTTCACTATTTATAAAAAAACTCAAGGATGGAAGACTCAGAGTGACTGTTATATTTGCTCACGAGCTTACACTGTAGCACATTTTGCGAACATCTTGATAATCTTTACCACAATGATGGCAGGATGGGTCAAAAGATCCTTTCAGTGTAATGCTGCAGCCCTGCTCCCAATCTCCCTCTGCTCCCTGCACTCCCTCTTCCACTCCTAAATATCCCGTATCAAAGACTTCGGGACAACCCATTCAAGGCCTGCGGTAGGAGGAGGGTCTGGGCACACAAAGGTCAGAACAGTTCAAACCCCACAGTTTGGAGCCAATATTGTTCGGGCTCGTGAGTTATGAGGCACAGCACTGAGGGAGCTCAGTGCCTTCGGAAGTGTGTGTGGCACGAGGTCGGGCCTGGGGTCAGGGGGGTTAAGAGTGTTCACTGCACAGCTCTCTGGCTGCTGAGCTCCTGCTGCAGCGTCAGCTCCTTCTCATCGCAGGGTAGGAAAAGCTCTGCCCCGGCCTCGCAGTGCTACACTGAGAACAGACAGTTCAGCAGAAAGCACAGAGGTTCAGTCTTGTGCTTCCACAGGGATTTGAGGGGGTAACAGTCCCAAGCCAAGAGCAAAACGTAGCAGGGTTTGACGAACACATCACTGGGGGCACAGAACCACTCCTGCACACTGGCAAACAAGGATGCTGGAAGTGGAGCATCCCAGCTCCTACCATTGGCAGGATGGCTCTGTGCTGGTGAGGTGGCTGAGGAATCACAGAATCATTTCACAGAATCATCTAATTTGGGTGGGAAAAAGGCCTCTGAGATCATCGAGTCCCCCCTGTGCCCCATCCCCACCTTGTCCCCCAGCCCAGAGCACTGAGTGCCACATCCAGTCCTTCCCTGGACACCTCCAGGGATGGGGACTCCACCACCTCCCTGAGCAGCCCCTTCCAATGCCTGACCACCCTTTCTGTGAAGAAATTCCTCCTGATGTCCAACCTGGACCCTCCCTGGCACAGCCTGAGGTTGTTTCCTCTCCTCCTATCCCTTTTCCTGGGAGCAGAGCCCGAACTCCCCCCAGCTCCCCCCTTCTGTCAGGGAGTTGCAGAGCCAGAAGGTCCCCACTGAGCCTTCTTTTCTCCAGGTTGAGCCCCCCCAGCTCCCTCAGCTGCTCCTGGTGCTCCAGCCCCTTCCCCAGCTCCATTCCCTTCCCTGGACATGCTCCAGCCCCTCAATGTCCTTCTTGTCCTGATGGTCCCCAAAGTGGACGCAGCACTCGAGGTGCCTCAGCAGCGCCAGCACAGGGTGGACACAAAAGCTTTGATGTCCAGCTTCCAAGTACCTGCTGACAATGCCACCACAGGCCACTGCCTGGAAGCAAAGCCAAGATTGTGTGACCTTGATGAGAGGTATTTAAAAATTACTCACGTTTCCTGCTTGGGTTCTCAAAGAGCCCCACGGGCAACAACAACACCTCTCTCCTCCAAGGAAGACTTATTCCAGGTCCAGGATGGGATGCACGACAAGGGCTTGCTAACCCAACAGGCTTTTCACTGCTCTGCAGAAGGAGTTTCTAGGCAAAGACTGCTGAGGCTGAACTACAGCCACAGCTCAGCCTTCACTGCTCACCCCTCTGACCCCTGTCCAGTGTCCCTGCGGCTCTCCAGCACGATGGCATGTGCCAGGCACATCACAGGAGCTGGGAGACAGCTGAAGAGAGCAGAATGCACATTCCTGACACCCATGGTTTGGGGCATTGTACCCACATTATAACAAATCATGAGCACTGGCACTGCTGCCATCAAGGAGCTCTGCTTCATTCCACTGGTTTAAAACCCCAGCGAGGACACTGCCCCTGATATTTTGCACCTTGACAGGGATCTTGTTTTGTACTGTCAGGCTGGCAGGCAGCTGTCTCCACACAGAGGAGTCTTTTTGTCCAGAGAGATCATTCCAGGTTGGAACTAAAACCTGTGCTGCCCTGCTTGTCCTTCCCACTGGTGTTTCCTCAGTGTCGGCCCCGGGAGGACAAGAGGGCAAAGCAAGGGGGGAGGTGGAGATCATTCCATCAGTCACACCAAGCAGAAAGCATGCAGCAAAGAAAAGAAAGCACACTTCCTCCAAGACACAGAGATGGGGGAAGCCGTGGGAACAGCAGGTCTTGGCATTTTGCAGACACAGCAGGTCTCAGTCCATGGGGAAAACAGACGGAATAAACAGGGGCTTTGTTGCTCCGACTGAAGATTGCTCTGTGGAGAGCAGGGAGAGAGGCACGTCGAGACCACAGGCTGGAGGAGGGAACTAACCAGGCCCTGGGACTGTGATGTGATGGGGAGATCGGGAAGCACAGCTCCCACCAGGATCTGGGATCCCCTATGCTGCTGAAGGAGACAGAGCAGCACCACTCCTTACACTGGCAGTGCCACCGTATCGGCTGTAGGTGCCCAGGGTTTATGAAAGCAGGCTCAGCAGACAGGGATGAAGGGAAAGGTGGAATGACTGATGCCAGCGAGAATCTGAATGGTGCCATTGTTACCAACAAGGGCACAGTGAGGCCCAGCAATCAGGCCACGTGCCAGGGCAGCTACCACAGCCCCCGGAGCATCCGAGTGAAATGAACTGGAACGAGTTATCACAGCCCCATCAAACTGCACAGAACAATTCAACTGATGAACCAACTGGGTAAAATGCTAGTGGAAGAATTAGCAACCCACTTAAATATAGGTGTTTTCTCCACATAAACACTGGGTTTCAGGCAAAACAAGCCAGTAGGCAATGAAGCTGTAATGCAAGCTACATCAGGCTAATGTCGTTGGTGTTGTACCTTTTGCATACTCACGTGACACTCATACACTGTATAGAACCATAAAATATGCTGAGTTGGAAGGGACCCATCAGGATCATTGAGTCCAACTGCTACATAACATTTGTTAAATATTTTTTGCTAGATTTAGAAGATATACAGGGGGGAAAAAACCTTTTGCTTTAGAAAAAATGCCTACTTTCAGCTAGCAAAAACCAGGAGAAAAGTTTTGGGGTATGTTCCAAGTGTCTTTGTCCCCTTGTTGAACATATTTGGTGCTGGCCTCTGCTAGCAAGAGACCACTGGATGGGATAAGCCTTGCCAAACTCTCTGGCTCGTGACTGGACACAGAGCACTTGCAATACACCAGTTCACTTCCCAAACTTCCCACCAGCAGCCCTGCTACAGACACTACTGAAATGCCTTGGTGAATC